GCTCCCGCTTATATCCAGCATTTGTTGTCCCGCTGTGCGCCCCGCCCGTTTTCTACCCGCCGCTACCGTTCCCGCTAACGAGCGGGGGGAGAACAAAACTGAAAACCACCAAGCTATACAGAGTCCAGACAGCCTATAACAAGCTGTCTGTATAAACACAAACACACACACACACACAGAGACAGCACAAAGCACACAAACCCCTCTCATTCACGCGCACACACACACACACACACACAGCAACAAACAAGCTAAACGCAGCATCACGCTGTCTCATTCACACACATACATACTCGTGCTTGCTGGCTTTGGAGTTGGGAGCGATATTGTTAGACCGCCTGCTCCCGTCCAAAATTAAACCAGTTACCGACCGCTCCCGCACTTTATTCGGAAATTTATACCCGCGCAGCAGAAATCTGGTCGGGTCCTCTGCAGACCTCTAGCTTGAACTGAATAAGACATGAGTATAAACTAATTTTTTGGTTTATCTAAAATTCGTGAAATAGGAATAAATACATGAATGATATCTCTAGTTTTTAACTCATTCAGCAGTCGTAGGTTTGTGTAAGATTGTGAGTTTGAATTTAACAGGTTTTTTTTAAAGGTTTTTTGTTCAAGTGAGATGAGTAATTGCATGTTTACATTTAGTCTAGAACTACAGTTACCATCCTGTTTACACAGCGTACAAAAAGTAAACCTGTATACTAAAAAGTAACACATTACTAAACTAGTTACAAAAAGTAATCTGATTACCTTGCGTTACTTAAAGGGATAGTTCACTCAAAAATGAAAATGTCCAACCCATTTATCGACCCTCAAGTTGTTTTACACTTTTATGAATTTCTTCTTTTCTGTTGACCACAAAACAAGATTGGTGTGAAACAAGAAAGGGGTGGTGCTATAAAGCATTCTTCAGTATGTCTTGTTCAAAATTTAACAAAATAAACAAGCTCAAACAGGTTTGGATGAGTAAATGTACCTTAATGTACTTTTTAATTTCATTTTTTGGTGAACTATTCCTTAACGTGTTACACCAACATTGATTATGAACAGCCTAAGTTAAATCTTTTTACAATTCTTCCATCAAACTGATCAGTTCAAAAACATTTGTTTATTTTATATTAAATAGCTTTTTCAGTCTTTCAAGTATCATTTACTGTATCTAGACAGTATCTAGAATAGGTTTTATTAAAACTCTGAATTTGTGTATCTAAGACTTACCAACGTATTTGTAGATTTGTAACAACATGAGCTGAAGTAAACACTTTCGCTTGAACTAAATCTTTATAATGATTAGTTAATAAGGATTTTTGCCTGTTTAAACTCTGAAGTCTTGACCTTCATGATTATTTACTTATTTATCTTATTTTTTTACATGCTTATTTTTACATTATTTACTGTATGATTATTTATTTTACAAGTACAATCTGCTTATTAAAAATTGAAATAAACAGTTGAAATTTACATTTTACATTTAGCAGACGCTTTTATCCAAAGCGACTTACAAATGAGGACAAGGAAGCAATTTACACAACTATAAGAGCAACAATGAATAAGTGCTATAGGCAAGTTTCAGGTCTGTAAAGTCTAAGAAGGAAAGTATTAGTATTTTTTTTTTAACAGTACAGTTAGTGGTATATATCCTTAAAGGCAATTGCAGATTAGGAAGTGAACTGGAGACTAAATAGTTGAGTTTTTAGTCGTTTCTTGAAAACAGCGAGTGACTCTGCCGTTCTGATGCAGTTAGGGAGTTCATTCCACCAACTGGGCAGATTGAATGCAAGCGTTTGGGGAATGTGATTTCCTCCCTCTTTGAGATGGAACCACGAGCCGAAGTTCATTCACAGAACGTAAGTTTCTGCAGGGCACATAAATCTGCAGAAGTGAGAGCAGATAAGAAGGGGCACAGCCAGAAATCGCTTTGTAAGCAAACATCAGAGCTTTGAATTTGATGCGAGCAGCAACTGGCAGCCAGTGCAAACGGATGAGTAGCGGAGTGACATGTGCTCTTTTAGGTTCATTAAAGACCACTCGTGCTGCTGCGTTCTGGAGCTGCTGAAAAGGCTTGATAGGGTTAGCTGGAAGCCCCGCTAGCAGAGAGTTGCAGTAGTCCAGTTTGGAGAGAACAATTATATTCAATTCACTGAAAAAAGCTTAAAATGCAACATTGATTGTTCATTTTACATGTTGTTCAGGGCGACTATTACTATCTATATGGATGGCCATTTTTGGCCATAATTAACACTAATGCCTGGGTCTGACTGATAGTCACATTAACTTTCTAAACATATTGCATAAAACCATGTCGTGTACATCAGCATAGCTAATACTGAAAAATTGGTGACTCATTTTTTTTTTTTTTTTATTTGATATTTTAAACTTCCTTAAGCCCAGGCAAACACGTCTGAATATTGCTGCAATATTTCATTGTTGTATTAATTTGTTGTTTCTTTCTCAGGTTGGACATGGAGGCAGTGGGATGATTTACCCCCTGAAGAGCAGCTATTCTTGCCATTGGCCAACCTGAGACAACAGGGCTTCCAACCATTCAGAAAGAGTTAAAGGGATCTTGTGTTGTTAAGAAATCCACCTTATGACTCCATGCCTTTACCTGATTGAATGTCAGGTGAACTCAAATCACCTTAGGCCTTTTCTTGCTCATTTATAAGAGCTTTGACCTATAAAGTGACACACTACCTGAACATACACAGACATACTTCAGATTGACTGTTATGGATGAATTATTGTTGAATTTAATTCCTGTTTCTCATTAGTCTCTTCTATTTTATGATTTTATTGAACAAATGTTGTAATTTACATCTTTGACTATTATGGTATTAAAGCTTATGAGTCATTTTGTACATGGTGGTAACGTCTGTATAACATGTCATCATGTTACACTAAAATATTTAGGTAACACTTGTCCATAATGATCCTTTAGTTAATGTATTTACTAATACTAACAAACAATAAATAATACAAGTGTTATAGTATTTATTCACCATTGTGAATGTTAGTTAAGGGGCACCTATTTTACCCCTTTTACAAGATGTAAGATAAGCATTTGGTGTCTCCAGAATTTGTCTGTAAAGTTTCAGCTCAAAATACCCATCAGATAATTTGTTATAGCCTCCAGAATCTGTTCGTTTTGGTGTCTGAATGCATTGTAGCTGTTTTTGTAGCCTGTGGCTTTAAATGTAAATGAGCTGCTTCTCCTCGCCCACTGTTCTCACGTGTGTGTCTGCTTCTCCTGCGTTACATCAGATAAACAGCCGTCAGTGACAGAGACAGACTCGGATGAAGCTGAAATACAGCTCATTGTTAAAAATACCAAGTTTACTCCATGTTTTGTGGTGGAGTTTTTTCAAGCCTTTCTGAAAGGATGAGTGACACAAATGCCATTTGCAGTAAACACACACACACACACACACACACACATACTTCTAAATGTGCATGTATAGACACCCGGTGGCCATGGTGATTATAATGGTTAAGAATTACTGAAATTTTACTGTCTTTATCACAAACATTTTTACATTTATAAAACATATAAAAATGACAGAGTTGGAATTAATATTTTAATCCCAGTTTATTTGCAAATTGTTCTGTGGACGTGTGTACATGTTATTATAGAAACATAGCGCCTGTCAATCAATTCGATGAGCGGGAAAAACTGCTCTCTTATGTCACGTTGTGGTGGGCCTTAAAATCATTGGGATTTGGGTCATATTTTAATGTCAGGAAATAAAATTTTAAAAAAGACTTATGTTTATATCACTCCAATACGACAGTGGACACACTATACCTACACACAGTTCTGTCCAAACAGCTTACAAAAGATGCTTTTTTAATGAAGAAAAGGTTGTTCATTTTAATTTCATTTTAACCCATGGTGCATTAACTAATGCTAACAAAGATATTACATTTTAATGACGCATTAACAAATGAACTATAAATGGTGTAAAAGATTGTTCATACTTTGTTCATGTTAGTAAACACATTGGCAAAGCATTGTTTTAATGAACGCATTTGTTAATTGTGGTCAATGTTATTTTTACACACACATTTTCACATTTCATGTTATATTACGAACATTTCTTTATTTAATTTAAACCAATATTACTGAACATTGAATAATAGAATATCAAATAATGTAAGAGAAAGTTATACCCAAATTAAGAACATACCATTTACTCACCATCAAGTGGTTTCAGATCTTTGAGTATCTTTTTTTCTGTTGAACACAAAAGAGGATGAATGTTACCAGCATGATAAGAAAATAAATAGTTTGAAAGCTGATAGCTACCAGTCACCAACATTTATTTCTTGTATTCAACACAATACAAAACCTCAAATAAATATGAAACTAGCAAAGGATAGATAAACGATGACAGAATTTTAATGTTTGGGTGAACTATCAAATTAACATGAGCCACCTGGTGAAAGGTTGACTGGTTTTAGCTGGTTGACCAGCCTGGTTTTAGAGTGGTTTTGGCCATATTCAGGCTGGTTTCAGCCATTTCCAGCCTGGAAATGGCCAAAACCCCTCTGAAACTTGGGCTGGTTTAAGCTGTTTTAGCAGGGCCTTTATTAATAATAAACTTACTATTATTGTGAAGTGTTACAGATATTTCATCAAAGTTTCCTCAGTCATATATTACTCTAAGGGTTCCCATCAGACAACACCTGTTTTCGTTGTAATCCTACTGCAAGATTTCATAACATTACCAATTTCCAAATAAACCTTACCTGTACTGAGGTAAACATTAACGTTACTTGATAGTTTTGCTGTTGAGTCGGACAGCAAAACAACCGTGTATTATTAAATTGTGTAGTTCAAGTTATAAAAGTATAATATGTGTTTTGAATACGGCTAAGTGTATAAATAAAGTAAAAGCAAACATCAGAGTCAGCGGTTAGTGAAAACAGCGCCCTCTGTCGGCTAACTGAGGTATATACAGTCTGAATTTGGCTAAATGCGCCACAGCAACTTGTGAGGCAGCACTGTGTATAGAGAGGTCGTCGGCTTCGCCAAGCTCTCGTTAGTTCGGTGAAAAAAGTAAAGACAAAAAAAATCCAGCTACCCAACATGGTGAAACTCACTTTCAATTCCGCTCTCGGACAAAAGGATTTAAAAAAGGAGGAGAAGGATGAAGCTTTGATCCCTCATGATCTGGTGAGTTTTGTTAGCTTCAAAGCTAACCGGCTAACGTGATTAAAACAGCGTTAACAACAATGCTATTTTTTGCCTTTAAATTCATTATAACGGATTTACTTGTCGTGATAGTGTTTGTTCAGAATGTATCGATCAATATATGTTAGCATTAAGTGAATACGTTTAAGTAAAAAACGAAGGATTATGCAAATATAAATAGTGAAAGTAACCAAAACAAACATTTGGTCGCTTGACTGCAATACAGTCGTTTTTTATTGATAATTCATCCGACTGAAGCACATACACGATGTTTAAATGGGATTTATGTGAGTTTTTTGGACCAGACAGTTTTGTTTTTGTGTGTGCAGACTAGGGAAGCCATCTCCTCCTTGTTTCGGTGTGTATATGTGTGTGTGTGAGTGAGTGTCAAACAGCTTTGAGCTTACAGGAAAATGGCCGACAGTTCAACACAAACACCAGGAAACACACACAAAACCCTTCATGCTTTGCAGGTTTCAGAGGTTTCCTTTTTAGATATTTGATTGCTTTTTAATGCAATGTTCTGAGCAATATAAACAGTGAATGCATGCATAAAAATGTATATATACATGCATTCATGCACTCTTCATTTAAATGCAAATCAATATTAAATGCATGCCTTTAAACTAGATTTGCATTTAAAGAAGTGTAGATGTGTCATTTTATATTTTGCAGTTCCTGAATAGGTTTCAGCCGTGAACATAGTAAAACCAGGAAAAGGAAAGACATTTTTAGCAAGCTTATCGTGGGAGACTTTCGTAAGTGTGAGACCTGCTCCCACTCAAATACATGCACCGTCTGCCTGCTTCTGTGCCTCCAATACGATCATCATCTGCCACTGAGGATGAGTCAGCGCCTAGTGTGCGAATTGGGTTGATGATGAAGAAGAAAAGGAGGCCGTGAATCATTCATAAGACACTGTTGTGTCTGCAGAAACGCCGCCACTGTGATCAGATCAATGCTGCAGCCTGGTATCATCGCCACCATTTCGGGCAAAAGGAGCGTTTCAGTTGGGCTTTAGGGAAAGGAGAAGAAAATTTGGATTTCATGCTTCTTACCTTTTAGACATTTCCGGCAATCGGAGCCTCTAATGCTGATCTAAGTGGGTTGAAAGGTATCAGTTCATCATGAGATAAGCTGTAAAGATCATTCTGTGTGGTCTGAAATCCTCTGTCGCACAGGTGATCAAAGCCTCTGCAAACTTGTGGATGGAGCCACCAAAAACAGCCATCTTTTTTTTCATGGAGAAAAAAACCTCCTGAAGGCTCTGATTATTTAAACAAAGACGCTCTCTGTTAGGACTAAGCTGTAATCTGCGGTGTGTGTCTGTGTGTGCGATGATGATGCCTTGGGTATTTCATACAGGTGTGTGTTAAGTGAAAAGTGCATTTCTGAAGTTGTTTGGTGTTTTAAAAGCAGCACAACAGGAAGTGTGTTTGTGCAAAGTCTCAACATATCCTTGAATAGATAGCAAGAAATGAAATCTAAAATGATGCAGAATTATGGATTTAGCCGGATCTTGCATTAGGATGATTTTGGATGGATTTCATGGTTGTGCGTTCAGGGAAAAAAGGTTTGTTGTTACAATGTAATTACATAAGTACTACTAAGTAATAAAGATATTTATAATAGGATTTGGATAGTTCTTATAATAGTTTTTGGTAATTAAGCATAACTTTGGCAAGTGTCGTAAATACTGTAATTAATACAGGTTTTTATAACAGGACAGAGACCTATATACCATTTCAATGTGATGTCATTTGCCCATGAACATTTCTTGCTTGCAATCAAACTATTTCAGAACTGCAATAAGAGGCAATTCAGTTATTCTTGATGTTAAAACAGCTATCATAATATTATTTATCAATATGTGGCTATTTTTAGATTATCAGAAGATATAGAAATTAAAAATGTAGAACAGAAAATGCATCCATTAAAATGGTCTATAGAAGGACTTATGGTAGAAAAAAGAAAGCCGACACACACACACACACACACACATATATATATATATATATATATATATATATATATATATATATATATATACTAGTATCACAGTTCGGTTGCGATTATCATGCCAGCGATTCGGTTTAATTCGATATCTCAGTGCATCACGATGCATTTAAAATGCTTTCTATAATCAAATTTTACTTCACAGCACAACAATTGTTTTAAAATGTATAATTTTACAATTCATTCATTCATTTTCTTGTCGGCTTAGCCCCTTTATTAATCTGGGGTCGCCACAGTGGAATGAACCGCCAACTTATCCAGCACGTTTTTACGCAGCGGATGCCGCAACCCATCTCTGGGAAACGCGAATGCAGGGAGAACATGCTAACTCCACACAGAAACGCCAACTTAGCCGAGGTTCGAACCAGCGATCTTCTTGCTGTGAGGCGACAGCACTACCTACTGCGCCACTGCAGTTTAATACATTTTATATGCATTTGAAATACAATGTCGTCCTTTTATATATGAACTATATCTTTAATTTTACTTACTCAAAGATAACACTTTCTGAATGCATCAAACAGAACTCAAGTACATGTACAGAACAACATGTGCATTTAGAGCTGATTAACAAAAGTAAATGTTACTCCGCTTTTTGAGCGTTGTTGAGCGAGTTGTTAAGCACACACACACACATTATATATATATGAATGAGTTAATTTAATATTTCAATTTTAACAACAAATACTATATACAAATATAATTTTTATTAGGCAAGACGAGCATGTTTATAGCACATAATCATACACAATAGTAATTTAAAGTGCTTTACATAATGATAAAAGAAACTAGATACAATAAGTATAATGAAAAAGTATTTAAATTACTTAAAACTGAATAGTGATCAGGTTTAACTGAAGAAATAATCATAATATTAATGTTATTGAAAATTGTAATTGCGTATTTTTAAATAAATGTTCTACATTTTTCCTGTTAAAATAACAGATGAGAAATGGTGTAATTTTTACTGATTCATAATTAAATATTCTAATCATGATATAGTTTGTATTTTTGCGTACAGTATATTTAACAAGTTATTGTCTATTCTGTGGGTTTTGGTGTCTACATATGGCAAGAGATTTTCACTTTACTATTAAACAATTCATACAAATTTGTGCATTATGCAGCTAATTAAAATGTACTTTATTCTGTTATTTCATGGGTCTGTCTGCATTTTCTGTATCATGGAAATCATAGAGCAGTACTTAAAGTTCAGTGTGCACAGTGCGCAGACCAGACTAATCGATAATAAAGTAGGCTGGTTGACTGTTTTCATTATTGATTAGTATTTTCAGCTCTTATCATTTTAGAGACACAATCTCAGAATTGAAATGCATATCAGTGCAGGATCACAAGGCTGCTGTTTTCCAAGCCAGAGGAGAGATAATGATGACTAAACTCCTTTAAATTGCTGCATTGTCATGGGAAATGAAGCTCAAAGACAGCATCCCTTAAACACACCTGTAAACAAACCTGTATGCATATTACAGACGTTTCTGCTGAAAAGTGCCCACTTCTGATGGCCATAATTTCCCTGGAGTCTGCGGTATGTTGTAAATACAGGAAAGCTACTTTAAATTGTTTTGCTCTCGATATGTTTCATGTGGAAAAGAACAAATTAGGACCAAGTAGACTTGTGCCAAACTATCGGGATATTAGGTCTGATTTGTTTTCACTTTCGTCTTTATACATCAGCCAGCGTGTCAGCTGATGTTTTGTTCATTTGCAACATGCCAGTATGTTTGTTCCTGTTGGTCTCTGGAGGGAGCATGGAAATTTTCCAGTATCTGTCGAGCACAATGCGATTGTTTTGAACAGCGGCACACCCAGGCTAAACACACTCGCAAATAAAATCGGAGAAAACGCTCTTGATGAAATAAGCAGACGCTGGTGCATTAGTGAGTGGGATCTTAGGGGATTTCTGCGGGAATCTGTGAACATCTGGAAACAAACACGGTTCCCAGTGGAAGTTCTTGAACACATTGGTCATCATTAAGTGTTTGTGAAGACAGTCCTTATGTACTTTGTATGTTTAGACCAGAGATACCCAAACCCGGTCCTGGAGGGCCAGTGACCTGGTCCCAATCAGATACACCTGGGCTAGCTAATCATGCTCTTACTAGGCTTTCTAGAAACATCCTTGCAAGTGTGCTGAGGCAAGTTGGAGCTAAAATCTGCAGGACACCGTCCCTCCAGGACTGAGTTTGGACACACTGATTTAGACAGACTTAAGGATGAAATGTAATTCAAGAAATGTTTTTTATTTATTTATCCGGAGCCTATAATTGAGCTTTCCTTCTGTGTGTGCAGGATGTGGAGGACGTGCTGCGTGTCAGACAGCAGTCCAGGGCTTGGTGCTGGTGCATGTGTTTGGGTTTGGCCTTGATTCTGTCTGGTGTGGTTGTGGGAGGAGCTTACCTGTACAGGTATTACTTCATTGAGGTGAGAGAAATCTGTTTAGTTCTTTAAAATAAAAATCTACTAAAAATGTAAGGAGAAAAAAAAAAGTCCTAACAGATTCAGCAGTTTGTCAGTATGATTAGTTTTGTTTTTAAAAATTAAAGTAAAAAAAAAAAACAATCCTCAACTTTGTTGAATAGTTACTGTACTTTATTACTGTATTTTAGTTATTTGCATTAAAAGATAAGTTGGCAGTAGGAATGCACAATATATTTCAAAATTAGCATTATCATGATAGTAAACCATGTACATATCATGGAGATGTGTGATCAATTACATTTATTTTATGCATTTTTGAAAATTAGCATCTAAATTTGACCAATCAGATGGGCTTCGTTATCTTTATGCCCACCTGTCCAGTAGTTGCTATTCAGCAACTGGCCAATGGTGAAGCCTGAGCTGAAAAAATAAATACTAATGCAGGAGACAAGAAATAGAAAAAAAATGACAGAGTCAGAATATCTGTGGAGGTTTTCACTCATCCATAGTGTTTTAAAGACTAAATATTTTCACCTTGACAGTTTTTTTTTATTATTAATTAGATCTGAAAAATGCATCGGTTAAAAGTTTGGGGTCAGTTTTTTTTATTTATTTTTTATTCTTCTGTACATTTAAGGTGGCATTTATTAAATGAAAAAACAAATGTTAAATAGTTAAATATTTATTAACATTTTTAGAATTCCTTATTGTATGTAGTTTCAGATGAAAGTATTACTTCAGTCAATATTGTTTTTATTACTATTACATTAATATTAATAATAATAATAAGAGTAAATTTAATAATTATTAATATTAGAGTGATTTCTGAAGGATCATGTGACTGAAGACTGGAGCAATGATGCTGAAATTTCATTATTAAATTAATAATTTAACCACCTTTGAACGGTTATTTTATAGTGCAGTAACAATTTACAATTTGTACTGTGTTTGTGATTAAATAAATGCAGCCTTGGTAAGCAGGATAAGCTTATTGTAAAACATTTAAAAGCCTACTGATCTCAAACTTTTGACCGGCAGTGTATATTTCACCTGTTAATTTTAATATCGTTAAATAAATAATTTAAGAACATAACTAATAAAAATAGCATTTTTCTGGGGAAATGTTATATTGTAAGAAATATTGTTATCGCAATACTCCACAACAACAACATTGCATGTAAATTCAGTATCATGCAGCCCGACTAGGCAGGTTTTCAGCCAGCTTTTTATTGCTACTAAATCTGTTGTATATTAAAATATAAATATTTCTCCCATGTTAACTGCCCCGAGTTTTTGACCAAATAAAATGCCAATTCTGTTTTTTGTAATCATGTGCACCAATTTAAAAATGTTTATATAATTAATATTGTTTTTATTGTGACAAAGTCATTATGCTGACTATTGTATTGCTGAATATTGACTATTGATGTAATATTTAATATGAATGATGTGGATTAACAGAATACACATAACATGTTTTGTGCAAGGATTTATTTTTGTTAAACTCAACAGAAATAATCCTCTTTGCACTTTAATCATTACACCATAATTAGTTTAATTACAGACGTTTCATTTTTGCCCTATTATTCATTTTGGTGGCATTTTTGCCATAGACACTAATTAATTTTAAACCCTACTGCATATTAGGGCAAATTATATTAAAACAACAATTTTAAAACGTTTCTCATCTACATTGTAACAAAAACCATTTGCTTCCCACAAAAATATGCACATTGGAAGGAGATCTTACCATAATTGGCTAATCATCAGTGATGCCATTTATACTATTACTGATACATCCCAGTGGATTTAAAAATAATATATATTTGGTTACAAAATGAGTGCAAATTTTAAAAAGCGTTGCTGTCTTAAATTCCGTTTCCATACACTTAGAGAAGGATGTGCATGTAGTTAATCTTGCTGAGAGAATGTGTCCATTCATACTGCTGGTGTTCAGGAGGAGAGGATGTATTTCTGCGGGGTAAACTACCGTGAGGAAAATTACAAGATGCAGGACAGCCAGGAGGACACAGACATGGATCTGCCAGCCGCATACAAGAGGATCGAGGAGAAAGTCAGAGTTCTGGAGGACGAGGGAGTCGAGCTCATTAATATCCCCGTGCCCAAATTCAGCGACAGCGACCCTGCTGACATCGTCCATGACTTCAACAGGGTGAGAGTCAAAGTTTGTCACCCTAATAAAGCCATATAGAGTGTGTGAGGATACCCCTCGCAGATCTCTTTTAAATTCATATTTTTCTATAGGATGCTTTACAATAATATTTAGATTAGTCAGTACCGAAGCCAAAACTGGACCTAATCTAACAAAAACATTTTAAGATCACCGTTTATAAATTAGTACACTCAAATATATATATATATATATATATATATATATATATATATATATATATATATATATATATATATATATATATATATAATTTTTATTTTATTTATTTATTTTTTTTTACTTTTAGGGCACCTTTTAAAAATATTCAGATTATTATATTTGCAGAGGGGTTCCTAACAGTGCCAAAATATTGAAGACTTAATAGCCAATTTATTTTCCAATATGAACATTTTCATTTGTTAATCTGGCCTATGATATTGAAAATCCTGTGAATATTTATAGCCCTTTTGTTCATTAACCCTGTACAGCAGGACGGCATTTGTTAACATCAGTTCATCTAACATCTAAGTCAATTGGTGATGATAATTGTGTTAAATAATTTTTTATGTTAATTGTGATAAAAGTGCTTATTATTCCGAGGTGGTGTTAATTTTGTAGTTAACGTCCAATAAAATTAAAAAAATCCATATTCATTTTATTAAATTAAGTTTAAAAAATAATACAATTCAGTAGTTTTTTATTAACTCTAATATAGAACTATAATATGGCTATTTCTCAATATTGATTTTAACACACATTTACTAATGACGTTTTTATCATTGATTTAGTCTTTGTACTGTGTCTTCCTTTTGCAGTTTAATTTGATTAAGTGAAATTTATTTTTAAACTATTTTCGAGAGGATCACATATTAATGATTGACCATGGCTGGTCCGCATTAGCTAACACATGATTCAACCAATCAGACGATTCCTAGTTCACTATAAATAACCAGAGTTTCTTACCACAGTATCTTCGTTTTGAAGAATCCCCCCTCCCACCTTCTTTTCTAGATTGGGCGACACGGCAGCCCAGTGATTACCACTGTCACCTCACAGCAAGAATGTCACCGGTTAAAGTCCCCACTGACCAGTCGACATTTCTGCACGGAGTTTACTCGTTCTCCCTGTGCTTGCGTGGGGTTCCCCAGTTTCCTCCCACACAGTCTAAGAACATGCTATACTAAATTGGCACCATAGTCAAGCTTTTAGTTAGCTGTATTTTCCCTATAGCCATCTCTTTATCTGTCATCTGAGCTTAAACTCCCCTCTTGCCCTGCTAACGGGAGAGAGCCCAGGGCTTGAGGATCTTATCAGGGTTGTCTCCCATGACAGCATGCCAAACAAGCTTTATATTCATTCATCAGCTAAGTGAAAACTCTTGAAACAAAAAAATGTATTTACTTTGAAGATGATATACAATAAAGCAATTTTTTTTTTTTTATAAAAAAGATAAAGCTAAAAAAAACGCTTCAGCAGTTAATCACAGCAAGAAAATTTGATATCAGCAGAAGCTTAATTGCGCACACATTAACATAATTGCCTAATCTGATTCCACAAAATAAATGATCTATACAAAAACGGTAAAATCCCTGTTTTTCCTGTCTGCTTTAGAGACTGACAGCCTATCTGGATCTGCGCCTGAACAAATGCTACGTCATCCCTCTCAACACCTCCGTCGTGATGCCTCCCAAAGACTTTCTGGAGCTTCTGGTCAACATCAAGGTATCTTATATTGGAACATCATTTGCTCTTTTTTAACTTCTGGAGCTGTCTAACTAGACATTTAAACAGTGGCCAAATGTTGTCTAGGCTTTTCAGCAGTAGTACGATGATCAAGCATGAGAGTGTAACTGTGTCTGCAGGCTGGAACATACCTGCCGCAGTCCTACCTGGTTCGTGAGCAGATGATGGTGACTGGGAAAGTGGAGCATGTGGATCAGCTGGGTTACTTCATCTACGGCCTGTGCAGAGGGAGAGACACTTACAAACTGGAGCGCAGAGAGACCGTTTTGGGTAAACGCACAAACTTGTTTGACCAGAATTGTGGCAAGACTGGCGTTGTGCTTGTCTTAACTTGAGAACTGAAAGTAAAACAGTACTTTGCTGGTTTGCATTTATTTACTAGTACGTTTTGGACTTTTTATACTTTTTTGGGGGTTGTTTTGGGTATAATGGAACATCTTTTTATGCATTTAATTTTTTGAATTTAGTTTTGGCAAATATATGATATACTTTTTTTAATTGGCCAATTTATTAATTGTCCTAGTGAGCTTTAGATTTTCTATGAATTTTGTTGGGTTGTTTTTATAACTTTTTGTTGTTGTTTTGAACTTACTATTGAGTTTTGACCAATATATGAATCAGTGTTTCCTCTAGGATTTTTTCCAGCTGTGGCGGCAGGCCTTTTTTTTTTACTCCGATCTACCAACTACCTGTGGTGTTATTTTAATGACAAATGTTGTGAGCGCAGTATTAGAAGGCGAGATCGCATTTATGTAATAGCCTACCCTACAGCACGCGGATCTCTTTGCTTGCGCGCCGATTTCCTCTGCTCGTGCAAAAAACACGCCCCCTCATATATAAGCCTCTTTAAGAGCGTGCAGATCTTCTTGTGCGCTCTCAAATAAACGCTGCCGATTTAGTGCCTTTATGTAACGAGTATGTCTCCAACATTTATTAGATTTTATAGGAATATTTATGAATGTCTCTAATAGGCCTACAGGGCGATATTAATGTGTCCTGAAGTGAAGTGAACCTGTCAGTCAGTCAATCAATCTGTCAGCAAGTAACCTTAACGGGGTAAACAAATAATGCACAGCACTATTACGGTTACAGAGAAGTTTGCGCTGTTATAATTCAATCATCTTTTAATACGTTTTGGTGCGATTATTACCCGCTATTAAAAAATTTAAATGTTTTGAATGAGAAGCTAAAATGTAGCCGTGGCGGAATGAATTTTGTCGCTGCGCCCCGCCATGGACAAATGAATGTAGCAGAAACCATGCGAATCATTTTTTTCAACTTTTGACCCTTTTGTAATTTTTCCATGTGATTTTTGCCTGTTTATGAATTTTCTAGTGACAAATATAATGTCTGATTTTTCAACTCTAGTGATTACGTTAAGCACGTCAAGAGCTCGATTCACATCATTCGCGCCGCCCCATTCACGCGAATAGCGCCGTAGGATGACGCTTAATGCTTTGTCCGCGTCTGGTGTGAACGTACCATTGCAGTTAGTTTTTTTTTTACTTAAAATTGTGTATATTTTCTGGAGCTTCATATCAGTATGTTAGTATAATTACTATTTATAATACAAAACTATTATATTTTTATACAAAAAAAATCTTAATTTTTTTTTAAATAATCATTTTGTTTGTTTTTCGTTTGTTTGTTTTTACATACATTCACCTTACAATATTACTCTTTTGTTTTTTTGCAGGCATCCAGAAGAGAGAGGCTCTGAACTGCCACAAGATCCTCCACTTTGAGAACAAGTTTGTGGTGGAGACTCTGATCTGTGAGCAGTAGAGCAGTGGACAGCGCCGGCTTAACCACTGACAAATTCCACTCTGACCCTTCCTGTCCTTCTATTAAACCTCTTCCTGTTTCCCCCGTTTGTGTGTGTGTGTGAGAGTGTATGTGTGTGCGTGAGCTCTGAGTTTCTCTGTATAGCAACAATCAAAACGACAGAGAGAGAGAGAGAGAATGTGACTGAACGCCAAGAGCAATATTCTGTGTAGAGATATCTGTGTAGGCAAACATTTGGACCAGTTTCTCTCTCTTAGTAAATGTTTTTTTTCGTGTGTGTGTGTCTGGGTTTCTGTTTAGCGGGGAGTTTAAAGTCTCCAACAGGGTGTGTGGTATATCGAGCGTAAATAGCATATGAGAGGAAAGGACGAAAAAAAAGAGCAATGAAATCTATAAAAGATGCACTAAATGTTTAGTGTGCGTTTAAAAACTGTGAACCGTCACAGATACCAGATTATATACTGGGGAAATATATTTGACTAGAGATTTGTGATATACGGCCAATGTAAGAATAAACATAGAATGGATTTTTGTACTAGTCACACTTTAAGCCTAGCTTGTTGTTTCAAATGCCAGATTTCGCTCTGCTGTAAGTTAATACACTGCTACATCACGTCCTATAGTAGAGAAATAAGCGATCTAGAGGACGCAAAACTTCTGTTTGGCTTCTTTTTTTTTTTTTTGATTTTTTTTTTTTAATCTTAGCACAATATCCAGAAGAAGTAAAGCATACGTCAAAATACAGACTAATCAAATGTGTAACTTTTATGTCATTTAGGGACTGCCGAGGCATTGGGTGTAAACTGATGGACGAATTCTGTAAAGGTTGTTGAAATTTACTAAAAAAAATACCAGTTCAACATGAGGTGGAATGATTTATACTTTGCACATAACCCAAAAGGTTTTAATGTTAAACATATTACTACTAATAAAAAAATTGACCACTCATTTTGCTTGTTGCTGTTTTTTTCTGCAGAAGAAGCACTCAAGGTTTTTGTGTAAACTCAAAAGGGGGAAGAGAAGTAAAAAGTTCATATTCTAAACATTTTTTTTTTTTTGGTCAAATGAAAAAAGAAAAGGTGTTGATAAAACAGATTTGACTAAAGATTAACTATTTATTAAAAGGCCACCTATTTTACCCCTTTTACAAGATGTAGGTTAAGACTTTCTAGAGTGTCTCCAGAATGTGTCTTAAAGTTTCAGCTCAAAATACAATTCAGATCATTTATTATAGCCTCCAGAATCTGTCCATAGAGGTGTCTGTGGCTTTAAATGCAAATGAGTTGTTACTCCCTGCCCACTGCTCACATGTGCGCGCATCTGCTTATTATTATGTGTTACGTCAGATAAACAGCAGTCAGTGACAGAGACAGACTCGGATGAAGCTGAAATAAGGTCATTAGTCAAAAAAAAAAAAAAAACAAGTTTATTTGATCTATTTGTGGTGGTTTATTCAAGCCTTTTTGAAAGGATGAGTCACACACAAATGCTGTTGCAGGGCACACAGACACGCATATAATAGCGTTTACTGACACCAAGCGGCCGTGGTGATTATATTGGGATTTTACTTTTTATTACGAACATGCTCCGTTTTAAAAAATTTTTAAACTTGATAAACATTTTTAAAAAGTACAGAGTTGTAACATTTTAATCCCAGTTTATTTGCCAAGACAAAAATGTTCTGTGGACGAGCATATATATGTTATTATATAAACATGGTGCCCATTGATCAATTTAGTGGGCGGTGGGCCTCAAAATCACTGGTATTTGGGGCCTATTTTAACATCAGGAATTTTTTTTTTTTTTTAAAGAGACTTAATGTGTTTATATCACCCCAATATGACAGTGGACAACACTATACCTGCACACAGATCTGTCCAAACAGCTTACAAAAGATGACTTTCATTATAGGCGACTTAACAGTTTTTCCCAATTGTTTACACGCAATTTCTGTACTTCAGACACAATGACTACAACATGTAACTGATGCACCAACCCCCTGAACCAATTCTGCCATTTACACTCAAATTCCAGACTTAAAACACACTTTGTTCAAAACACTACACACAATTCTCCACATTTGGCACAATTGTCATGCAGAAAATCTCGTTTTCACAAGGAACACAGTCAATCAAAATTGTAAACTCAGTTGCCCTACTTTGCATACTAACTCATCACATAGGTAAACACCTGTCACACATGATTGCAATTTAGAAATCAAAGCTCATCTCATATTCTCCATTTCTCAAACCTACTGAAGATTTTTTTCTGTCTGGGAATGGAAACAGATCTAAATCCACTTTTAATTTTTTTTTTTTTAACTATTCAGTAAATACTTCTGTTGATGGTATATGTAGACCATGTTATGTGAATCTTTGTGTTGGTTGAAATGAACACTGTGTAGACTGTTTTTGTGGGGAAAAATACAATAAAATATATTTGGTACCGTGTATTGGTGTATTTTGGCATAAAAACAATATTCTGAAGTATTTTACAATACACTTATGTAGGCCTTAGTATACTGTCTGTAATGTGCAACACTGAACAAAAAAGGCTTACAGTAAGTCATTCTGATAAATGGAGAAGAAATGGTCATCGTGTTTCAGCTAAAGCACATCAGTGATCAACTGGTTCTTATAAATGTCTATTCATGTGAGGGTTTGTGTTTGTCATTTGAAAACAAAATACCATTTTGAAAAGAAATTACATTGTTTTGAACGTAGGGTTTTATTTTGCAGAAGAATTGAAGGGTTTTGCCCTGTGTGTGTGTGTTGTATGTGTAGAGTTCTGACAATATGAGACATGCTGTCAGAAAATGTTTGTAAACTGGGAAAAAACTGTAACTTAGGGGGGCAGTAATTGTTTTCCACATAAAAATATTATTCAGTAAAAATAAGATAATGTATATAAGATTTTTTTTTTTGTGACTGACTAGCAAAAAAAGAGAGGTTTTGGAATGGGATTTTGATTTGTTTCCTATTTTATATTAATTGGTTTATTTATAATGTAGTTTTTGTAAGCCATTACTTTTATTTACAGGAAAACCTAAAACATTTGATATTTTCTCGAACACATCTTTTCCTCAACTTTCAAGACTGCAACAAAAGAAGAAAACAAGTAAAAATGGATCACACACAGAACTAAATTAGTACAACTTTAAAGTTAAATGTAAAGAAAATCTATTTAAAAAATGCTTATTCTAAATTTTAATTATAAATACAATAAATAATTTTCTACAATGACACTAAGCATGCTTGTAAAATACAGCACCTTAATAAAAATTAAAAACATACAGAATTAGGTACAGTGAGTTTTGGCCAAACTTCAGATATCTAGGTGTCAACCATGTCAACTGCCAACCATGATTAGCACTTGATGTTAGGTCTGATTATCTCAATCAGTTAAAAGTTTTAACAATTTTTCTTTACACAACAGTGCTGTCAAAATGCCCCACTCATACTATTGGACTAATACATAAAAATAACGTAAAAAAATGTCTTAAAATGGGCAAGTGGAGCTGTTCCTTTGTAAAGAAACCCTACGTGGCTCTACACATCCAATCCTGTTGTCCAACACCACCACATCATACAAAAAAATTAAATAAACACGTTTGGTATGTAATTTGAGAGGTTAGCTCGCCCCAAAATGAACATTATCCCATTATTTACTTACCTTCAAGGCGTCTTTTGTGTATATGAAGTCCTTTCAGTCAGAGTTGTTTTAACAATTGTATCTTGGTTTTTTCCAGCTCGATAATAGAATGTAGTTTTAGTCCTGTCCAGCTGAAGGCGCTAATCCACCTCAAAAGAAGAAGACGATAATGGAGGGTGCTCGGCAGAAGTTACATTAAATGGTTTCTAAACTTTTAAATATGGATATTTTCTAACAAAATCAAGGATTTGCTACATGTTACGATGATACGATACGTTTGCAACATACAAGGAGACGTTCACTCACCCACCAGAGCCGCTTGAGGCACTTTAAATGGATTGAAGTACTTTATTAGACTTCATTTGAACTGCTGATTAAAATCAACCAACCTTTGCCATTGTACAGCTGTAAACCACCCAATATAATTATTTTAAAAGTGCTGTAAGTACATTTTTGACTCTTCTAAAGCATAAAACATGCTGAAGTACGAAGTGAACAAACTTGTTTATATGAAAATTAACGTTAAAGCTGAAGTCAGTTAACCACCTTCTTTAATCTGTCTGAACTTTCTGCCTTTGTAACCCAGCCCACTGCCAGGTTATCCAATCATATTTTGGCACCCGACTTAACGATGTAACTCAGTACCGGTATATAACGTAAAAATATTGATATAAACTTGTACAATTGTAAGAAAACAGTGTATTTCATTTAAGTAACGAAGGCCTCAATATACTGGTGCGACTGAAAATGTGAACCCATGGACAGCAGCCTCTGAAATGAGAAGCAAATTCAGAATCATTCAAATCCACAAGGTGGATTTTAATTAGCAAAGTATGTAAGTATTACAAATGTACCCTGGTAAAAAAAAACAGCTTAAACTAACCTAAGCAGGTTGATCCGCCTGGTTTTAGAGGAGTTTTGTCCATTTCTAACCTGATTTTAGCTGATCAGGCTATTAAATGATTAGCTAACACACTTGAGCAGCCAGGTTTAGAATGGACATGGCAGGGCTCTTACGGCTAAGCTGGTTTTAGCTGGTCCTCTCCCAGCCTGAGCAGCTAAGACCAGCCTGGAAATGGCCAAAACCCTTCCAAAACCAAGATGGTCGGCCAGCTAAAACCAGCCAACCTGCTTAGGCTGGTTTAAGCTGTTTTTATTCAGCAGGGTGAACATTAGCTGAACAGCTTTCAATGAAAGGCTCCTGTTGGTGTCATCAATCTGGCAACCTGCGTTTATGTTGCGTCTATGGTCCTCTCATCACTTTAAATAAGTTTGATTCGACTCAACTGAAAGAAGAAAGTCATTTACAACTAGAACGCCTTGAGGGTGAGTAAATCATGTGGCAATTTATAATTTCGGGTGAACTTAATCCTTTAAGTTTATATAGAGATATAAACATTGAATACCTCTACCCATTTAATGGCCGAAATACTTAGTTTTACCTTAATTCTCTCTTCAGGATTCCCCACATTGCAGTGTCTGAGCCTCATCCGCTGCTACAGAAACCCCTCAGCGACTCTTGAACCCCAGCAAGCACAATAAGCAGTCAGATATATCCAGTTTTATTCTCCATCAGCAGGAAAATCACAGAAAATGATCAACATGCAAGACTCACACACCCTCGCCACAGACCGTTCGTTGAAAATAAAGATTTGCACACAGACAAGCAAGTCAGTCACCAATGATCCATAAACAGTGAAGTTTCACGCTCACATACACACTCGCACACACTCACATATAGACATCAAAGTACTCGATAGAAAAAGTCTCTGTGCATTAGATACAGTTCCATCCACATTATCTGCATGTGGGTATGAGGATGCGTTCAAATTTGGGCTGGTTTCTGGTTTTTCAATCTCTCTTCATCCCCAAAGAACATCAGTCTTCACATTTTGTAAGATCATCTTTATCTCTTGTGCTTTAAAAAAAAATCTCTGTAGCTCGTCGTCCTAACTGTGCCTTTGTTATTGCAGATAAATGGGGTTTTCTCTTGTCTCTACACCAGTCATACACCACCAACACAATAGTATTTCTATAATATAAATCAATATATAACATACATATAGAATAGTCTCATATCTTTAAGTCCACAGTTGGTCAAAGGGATGAATCGGAGGTTAAAGATCACAATAACACACTTCTTCTCTTCCTGATTTAAAAACGTCCCCCAAAACAAAACATGACCGTCTATGAATGTTTCTGTATGGCACAAACTTCCTGAACGATTTAATAGTGTTCGTTTTTTTTGTAGTTTTTTCATACATACAAAGAATACACATACTTGCAAATATTTCAAGCAATAAAATCTCGTTGGAAAGAAACGAATGTAAAGGAATGGTGAAAAATACGTTTTTCTTAAGGTCCCGTTCGCGATGCCAAACGCCACTGAAATCCTTTGGTTTAATCCTCTTACTAAAGACTTCAAAATGCACTCAGAATGTAACAAATAAACTCAAAAATCAAAGCCAGAACGTATACATCACCCCTTTATGACCTGGCAACCCATTGTGCATATAAACTCCCCTGTTCTGTCACTCTTGGCAATAGCTTTTCTCTCATTTTTTGCTGGTCAACTGTTTAAAAACAAAACCAAAAGAGATGGAACATGCACATCCATGATTGCCGCCTTCGAATTTGGTGATGACATGAGTAAAACTGCCCCATTCGTCGAAACGGCGAGGAGCGAAAGCAAAGCGATCACTATCAACACAAGTCAAGCAAAACCAACACTTTATCTGATACATGTTTCTAAGAGATACATGTTTCTAAGAGATCGAAATTAAAGAGATGAATAAACGTCCCTAATGTCTTTATCTTACAGTTTTTCCTGCGGCTCTCAAACCAAGTCATGGGTTTGCATGTCTGCAACAAGCCTGCGCATGACGTAGTGTAGCTGGACTGGTGTGTGTTTCAGTGAATGAGGAAGATGATGGACAGAGGAGCAGTGGCGCCACCTGCTGGTTCAGTCAGCGTAATGCATGATGGACTCCACGTAGTTTCCAGGGAAAAGGCCTGTGGTGCCGCTCATCACCCCCTCATACCAGCCGTCATCGTTCTTCTTGATGACGTAAATGATGGCTCCCTCCTGAAAGGACAGCTCGTCTTCTTTGTCACGTGTGTAGTCGTAAATCGCCACCACTGATGGGAAGGGAAGGAAAAGAGAATGTCTGGTTATGAAGATGTCTGAGTAATGATGTTTATAAGTATGACAGGATCTGCTACACTGTAAATGCTTGACATTTATTTTGAAAATCGTTACTTTATTATACAAACTGGTGCATTTTTCAATAATCCACAATAGATCAGCATAATATCAACTTACAATCAAGTTAAAACTAGATGTGTAATTGTGTACGCTTATCTTGCTTATTTTTTAGATTTAAAATGAGCAGAAATAATTCATTAGGTGATCTTTATGTAGTTTTAATTGTTATATTATTTCCATTTAAATGTTTTTATGCATGGGTCAAAACAAAACTATTATCCCTCCTATAAATTTGTATTCCAATGTAACCTACTGGTCCTACTGTACCCAACCCTGTTTGAGCTGGGATCAAACCGGCAATTCTTTGCATGAGACTCAGTTGCTCTAACAAGGATGCTAACATGGCCCCTAGCATCTGTCACTAGAGCACCTTTAGGGGTCCTTTAGAGAGGTGGGGTTTACTTCTATAGCACTTCGCTAGCTGCCCTCCGTTACACTCACCCCCTTTAACCTCACTCCCATCCCGGACGAGCCCCCATGTGTAACCAACCGGTCCTACTGCACCCAACCCTGTCTGAGCTGTGATCGAACCGGCAATTCTTTATATGGGAGTCGGTTGATCTATCCTAAAAACTTTTGGGTACTAAACTAAAACGTTTGCATGAAAGCTTTACTGTAATTTAAAACTAAAAAAAGTAAAGTTTCTGACAAGACTGTCAATTTTCTCTGCTGACTGGATATACTTTTCAAACCAAACTATCAAATGATCAGAGTTTTCTATCACAAGTGACTTTAGTTTAGGTTTCATATGGCGAAATACACACAAGTAGTAGCAGAACAACCCTGTAGAGTTGCTGAAATACACCGCGGTTGACTGTGAAAAAGGCAATAATCATATTAAGCTTAATCTGACAACATGCTTACTTCATACAGTACACATAGTGTGTATAACTAGACATTCTGTAACTACTTTAGCACATGCGGGTCAGTTTAGGACCATGATCTGTTCACACTGGAAATCTGAAATTGGTCACATTTATAACAATGTGAACAGCTATTAAAAAAAAAAAAAAAAAAAAAAAGAGAAAAAAAAAATCAGATTTGAGCATTAAGCCTTGCAGTGTGTACGCGTAGCCTTTAGAGCAGTGATGCACCTTTCTCCAGGTAGCTGCGCGGGGCCCACGGAGGGTCTTCTTCAGCGTAAGGGTCGCTGTACTCTACCACAGCGGACTCTTCATCCTCCTCACCCTCCTCATCCTCATAGTCCTCTGGAGGAGGCGGAGGCGGCGTCTCTTCCTCAAACTCAACCTCTTCTGCTGGAGGCGGCGGTGGAGGAGCGTCCGAGACTGAACACACACACAAACAAACATCAGCACTTCTGAGGGAACTTCTGTGTAATGATTCATGCTGGACGAGGAAGTGAAGAAGGAAAATATGTGTGTGTGTGTGTGTGTGTGTGTGTGTGTGTGTGTGTGTGTGTGTGTGTGTGTGTGTGTGTGTGTGACAGTACAGAATTAAGGAAGAGTAGAATAACAGTTGACCTTGAAAACAGCATTCATAAGCAGTTGTGTGTTTTTGAGAAGGGAACATCACTGAGGACATGCACACACTGCAGCTAAATGAGGTTAAAGGAGGTCGATGGCAGTGTTTTCTGTGCCACTACATTAAAGAAATACATTTTGAATCCTTTCATTTTTGCAATGCTTTCAGCTATTATTTGTCAGTTTGCCTTTTTTATGATTTTGCTGATATACAAATTATTTATTGGCTAATAAGTGATTACCTTGTAGTATTTAACTTGAAATGAACCAAAAAGTGATTTCTACACAGATTACACATTGTTAAACAGAACCAGCTAATTAACTGCCTCTAGTCCCTTTATTAATCTGGGATCACCACAGCGGAATGAACCGCCAACTTATCCAGCATCTGTTTTACACAGCGGATGCTTTTCCAGCCACAACCCATCTCTGGGAAATAAATATATATATTTTAGACTTACATTTTTTAGATTTTATGTTAAGCAGCTGTGACAGTAATACTCAATAAATAACAGGCATTCAGAGGTCATTTGCAAAACACTTTACACCACAATAGCATTTTGGCAGAGTGGAAAATAATTATTTTTTAAGAGTCTTTTTATTCATCGTAATCACTGTTAAAACAGTTTTTAGCCAATAGGGGAAGCGACGGCTTGAGGACAGCAACTAAAATTGACAAATCAGGCTACACAACACACATTAGTCTGTCAATTATTAAATTAGATCATCTAATTTTATTTATTTATACACAGATTTGCGCATGAGACCCAATGTCACAACTGGTAATAAATAAAACACAATAAAAAAAAACAAACATAAAAAATAAGCAAATAGTAAATAAGTAAAAAAGTAAATAAGCAAAAAAAATACACACACGCATATATATATATATATATATATATGTGTGTGTGTGTGTGTGTCAGTGAATATATATATATATATATATATATATATATATATATATATATATATATATATATATATATGTATGGTCAAAAGCTTGCTCAGAGTCAGTTTTTTATGTTTTTTTATTATTCTGTTCAACAAGGCGGCATTTATTAAACGTAAAATTAAAAATATATATATATTTATTAAATTTATTAATAACTGCTTTCTTATTGTATGTAGTTTCAAATGAAATTATTACTCATCATTATTGCTTTTATTACTATTACTTAAATAATAATAAAGGGTGATGCGGTGGTGCAGCGGGTAGTGCGATCGCCTCACAAGAAGTTCGAGCCTCGGCTGGTTCAGTTGGCATTTCTGTGTAGAGTATTTTCACCCTGCTCACTGTTGTGGCGACCCCAGATTAACAAAAGAATTAAGCCGAAAAGCAAATGAATGAATGAATAATAATAATAACAACAACAACAACAAATAATATAAAAGAGTGATTTCTAAAGGATCATGTTCAAAAGTAATTTTTAAATTAAATTGATAATTTATTTTAATAAGAGTTTTTAGCTTCCAGTCTTTTTATTACTCAAGTCTTCAGTTATTTTATAGTGCAATAACATTTCACATTTGTACTGTATTTTTGATTAAATAAATGCTGCCTTAATGAGCAGGAAAAGCTTGTTTTAAAACATTTAAAAATCCTACTCACCCCAGACTTTTGACTGGTACTGTACATATATTCTAATGTATGGCTTTATATATTGTCAGTTTTATTAGGGATATTAATTTGCCAAAAAAAATTAAAGCCAGATAATAAAAATAAATAAATAAATGACTGATGTCAAACTGAAAATTCACTTTGTATGTACTGAATCATATTAATATTGATTTTTTTTCTTATTAATTGGATAATAAACTCATCCATTTCACGGCAGATTCTAGTCTGTCCACATGCTCTTCTGATTTATAATTCCTCTTTTACATCTTCCAGCCTTGCACAGTGGCCAAATTACATTTCACTGACCATAAATGTATCTGTTTTGCATGCGCAGTTGAAAATGTCACAGCGTTCCAGCGGATTAAATAGCATGCAAGAGATCTGTGAAAAACAACTAAATGATTTTTAGCACACACACGCGTACACACACACACACACACACATCAAAAGAGCATGCAAAATGTGTCAAAGTGTCAATCTACTAGCACAGATGCGATGAAGAGAATTTTCCCTAAAGCCATGACTTACTGGTCTCCTGAACCCGAGCCACAAAGCCCATGAGCGGCAGCTGAGGGGTGATCTGGAGAATAGAGGGTGGAGGGGGGGCCATGGGGACTGCCCAACACACACACACACACAAACACACACAAACACACACAAACACACACACACACACACACACACACACACACACACACACACACACACACACACACACACACACACACACACACACACACACACACACACACACACACACACACACACACACACACACACACACACACACACACACACACACACACACACACACACACAAAATAAAAAACAGGGCCAAAAGGGTACAGAAACCAAACGTTTGTGGGTGAAAAGGAACCCAAAAAGAGAGAAATGGAAGAAAATGTGATGGCAAGTGGAAAAAAGAGAGAACAATCAGATCAAGTGAGAAGGAACTCTCAGACTTAAGTGAGATATAAACTAGTCACTTATAATCACTGTGTTATTTTACACCACTGTATGAGAACTAAACTGTCCACCAATACCAGTAAAACTACATGAGACCAATTCAATACTATAGCCAAAACAGTTGTTCATTTGAGTATTTTAACAACTTTAAAACAAAGATAATTGAAATTAGTTCATGAATGAGTTGTTTAAACTAAGCAATCAAAAAAGTATGCTGATATCAACTCAGTTCAGACTACAGGTAAAAAAAAATCTATAATAATAAAAATGGTGTCTGCACTGCACAGTGAGTCTCTTATTTAGGTCAAGGACCGAATGGCCCATTTTGATGTCTGCATCATATTAAAATTACAAAGGTGATTTTATATTCATGAACAGCATATTGAAAGCAGTGTCTACTCTAATGTTTCAAATAAATGGTGTGAAACTAAAATGGCCAAATATAACAGACATAATTGTGTATAAATTAAATGTAGAAAACTTTCTGAAATATACTTGTATGCAAATATACACAAAAAACATAGTAAGTTAAACCTATTTATATCATCTATTTTCATTAATGCCATGTCAGAAGCAAAAACATTTCATAAATAAATAGACACTACCTGACAAAAGTCTTGTTGCCTTTCCAAGTTTCACGAACAAATAATAACTTCTAGTTGATCGTTTGGTATTAGAAGTGGCTTATGTGAAAGACAAAGGCCTCTAGATTACGCTTATTTTACCAAAGTAAAATATGATCATGCCTTGATATTATTATGATTTATTAGGACAGTAAGGTCTGACTTTGCTTTGACAAAAGTCTTGTTACTTAACAGAAATAACATACAGTATAGAATATAAAGTCATGGTGCAGTGGAAAAATAATTCATATTGTGTATGACTCCCATGAGCTTGAAGGACTTCATCCATACATCTCTGCAATGACTCAAATAACATATTAATAAAAGTCATTTGGAATGGCAAAGAAAGCGTTCCTGCAGGACTCAAGATTCTTTGAATTTATCTTCAATGCCTCCTTTATCTTACCCCAGACATGCTCAATAATGTTCATATGTCTGGTAACTGGGCTGGCCAATCCTGGAGCAGCTTGACCTTCTTTGCTTTAAGGAACTTTAATGTGAAGGCTGAAGTATAATGAGCGCTATCCTGAAGAATTTGCCCACTCCTGTGGTTTGTAATGTAATGGGCAGCACAAATGTCTTGATACTTCAGGCTGTAGATGTTGCCATTCGCTGTGCAGATCTCTCGCACGCCCACATAATAAATCTAACCCTAAACCATGTTTTTCCTTCACCAAACTTGACTGATTTCTAAGTGAATCTTGAGTCCATGTGGGTTCCAATAGGTCTTCTGCAGTATTAGTAAGGATTGGGATGCAGTTCAACAGATGCAGTTGTTTTTTGCTCTTACAACTGGGATCGACGACAAGACTTTTGTCAGGTAGTGTACAATTAAAAACCAAAAACAAATGATTACATAAATTAGATACGATTTTTAACGTTAATATATGATAAAATTATCAAATTTGTGGACAATTTGGCGACACTTTGCTTAATATCTTATCAAACGTATTATCAAATTGTTAAAACTTGCTGATTAATAGGTAAAACCCGGAAATTACTCTTAAAAAAATGACAATCAGTATTTTGGGCTGTAGAATTTTTTTCAACCTATTCATCTAATTGGCTAAAATGCTCAACACTACTAGTTGTGAATAGAAACCTTATAGATAACTTTGATTACACAACAGAGGGCTGTGTGGTCTTTACCTTGGTTTTGGTTGTAGTGTGGCCCTCCATTAAGCTGGTTTTGTATCATGTTTGGATTAGTGTTTTGAGGCATGTTGTTGGGCTGTCCAGTAACTGATGACGGTCTGCGATAGGGCAGGGACCCGCCCACTGAAGGCGTGGTGTGCCGCGTCATTGGCCGGTTCATACTGTAAAAGTGAGGTCCATTCCCTGGAAGACAGCGAGAGGAAAATGAATGCAAATTCTGCTGGTTTGTCTATAAATCATCATACAGACCATACAACAAGTATACCACAGCTCATTCAATGGTATATGGAATGGACACAAGCTCTGACCAAACCCTAGTGAGCTGACGTATTCTCTACTGAATAAACTAGTCTGAGAGAACTTCTGGATTAAACTACACGGGCAGAACTTCCTTACGATTTGACTATCAACGTGTTCAGTAGTTTAATAATTGTAAACTGTAGTACATTGAATAATTCAGTAAATTTGTTGCTATCTAAAAGCAAGCCACAAGTTAATGTGCATGACAAATTCTTTCACTCTCAAGAGAAATTCACAATTACACGGTTTCATGTTCAGAACACAAGAGATTTGTGGAGTCACTGCAGAGTTTAAGCATAATAGATTGAACGTTTAAGGGCTGCGACTCTGAGCATTCAAATGAGTTTAAAGCATTTAGAGACAAAACAAATTGCAGTGTCTATGTTACACAAAGATAAAATGTTTTGGATTATATACATTCAAGCAGAAATTATTCATACCCCTGGCAATATCAGACTTTGCACTAAGGTAAATTAAAGCTGAGATGTTTTTTTTTTTCAATGATGCCTCTTGTACATCGTCTTATTATCTTTCGAGAGAGGGCAGTGTTATTTCTGGTCCCAAAAAACCTTCAGGTTGAATAAAAGTAGCATTAAGTCAGAATTTGCCGGGGGTGTGTATACTTTCAGACTTGACTGTAAATATACAGTTAAAGTCAGAATTATTAGACCTTGTTTATTTTTCCCCCCCAATTTATGTTTAATGAAGAGGGGATTTTTTTCAACACATTTCTAAACATTATAGTTTTAATAACTTTTTTCTAATAACTGATTTATTTTATCTTTGCCATGATGACAGTAAATAATATTTGACAAGATATTTTTCAAGATACTTCTATACAGCTTAAAGTGATTTTTAAAGTGAAATTAGGTTAACTAGGCAGGTTCAGGTAATAAGGCAAGTTATTGTATATTGACTATCGGGAAAAATAGCTTAACGGGGCTAAAATTTTGACCTTAAAATGAGTTTAAAAAAATAAAAACTGATATTATTCTAGCAGAAATAAATCAAATAAAACTTTCTCCAGGAGAAAAAATATTATCAGACATTAAAACAAAATCCTTGCTCTGTTAAACATCATTTGGGAAATATGAAAAAAAAAGGAGGAGGCGGGTTTTGGGGGGTTAATGCAAATAAAACTGTATGTACATATATAAATAAATGCTTTTCAAGTTTTGGCTAATAACAGATTAATTGCCAATAGGAAAGTATAATATTATTGCTTCTAAATCAATTCAAAATAAAACACAAACTAAACAAGTTACAACCTCTGGGAGTGAATTTAGACATCATAGTACAGCATGAAAAACTGATATTCATTTTGAGAAGCTTTTTGTTAAGACTACATTAATAACTGCAGGTTCATAGGTTTTATGTGAAAGACTTTAGATTTAAAGATGTAAATAGTTCCAATAACTGATTCAACATCAAATGTAAAAGGTAAAAACTGATTATATGATGACGCGTAATTTAATAGCCTGAACCTGAATCTTCAATATTGGTTAATAACAGTAACATTCAGCATCTCCATTCATAAACAACATTTTAATATGTTTTAAATCATCTCTCAGACAGCTCCATGTTTGTAAGGTGGTTAAGTCGGTAATACTGATGGAAGTTTGTTCCTTGATTATTACACTGTAATGGGTGTATAATTCCTAGTCATTGAAGCCTAGAAAAATAACACCTCTTCATTTTCCATCACTCCAAGTACACAATGCAACTACAGAAGTGTCTAGCTTTCAACAGGAACATTATCAGAACTCATTTTGAGGTCATTTTTGAACGAGATGCTATTGGTCTAATCCGATTCAATGATCTATGCTAAGCTAAGAAAAGTGCTAAAAAAAAAAAAGTGCTCCAGCCAGACATGGAGACCGCCTGAATGGCTTCAAAGATAGTAAAACTCAATTGTTTATCACCAGGGGATTTGTAAAAAGAACCCTTAAGCATTATAGAGAATATCAAACCACTACTTTAAAACACTGTCTAGGTAGGAAGCTCACTAGCTTTGGAACAGAGCTAAAGAGAACACCATGGTTGTTTGTTCATATAAAAACGTCGGCCTGTAATAAATTCCTTGATTTGATTCAATTGGAAACACCTTATCATTAAAAACAAAAGACCTTAAAGAGCACGAACAGAAAATAAACATGAACCTAATGAAGTGATTGAGACGTCACTGGGATTGTAATCCGGGAAGATCTGGAGCACAGACAAACAAGACAAAACCAAACCCATGCAGGTGAAGCACGGGTGAAGGCAGGCATGTTCACTCAGAGATGGACGGGTGTGGAGATGGACTTGAGGATTGGTGAGGGACTCACCTTGAGCAGGGGTGCTGGTTGCAGCAGCAGGGTTGGTGTTGGTGCTTACAGGGAGGTTTGGGGGCAGCTGTGGGGGCGGTGGGATCTCGGGAGGGCCCTCTGCTGGCGGGGCAGGGGTTGGGGCAGGGGCAGGCAGCACCGGCTCTGGGGTGGGGGGCGGTGGAGGTACAGGAGGGGCAGGGATAGTAATGGTGGGAGGGGGTTTGGGAGGGTTTGGAGGGGCAGGCGTTGTACCTGCAGATCCGCATGCCATATAAAAGACGGGAGGCCCAGGGGAAAAGAGAACCAGAGCGACAGAAAAGAGGGAAGAAAGGGTGAAAGATAGCCACGGGGTGAAGGGAAAAGTACAGCGAGTGAAAGAAGAAATAAAGAGGTAGTGAACAAACAGAGAAGTTATCAAAGTGGGACAGGAATAGCTGTTTCAATGCAGCAAAGACATTTCCTTCTTAACCTTGGGCAGTCCTCAGATTCATTTACTACTTAAGGCTCAGATACACTCAAAGATATTTTTCAGCTTCACAATCAACTTAAAAAGGGAGCTTAGAAATACTGATGTCGCAGTATACTGTTCACACCAAGGTCAATTACTACAGGGTGAGCCATTTATATGGATACACCTTAATAAAATGGGAATGGTTGGTGATATTAACATCCTGTTTGTGGCACATTAGTATATGTGAGGGGGCAAACTTTTCAAGATGGGTGGTGGCCACGGTGGCCATTTTGAAGTCGGTCATCTTGAATCTAGCTTTTGTTTTTTCCAATAGGAAGAGGGTCATTTGACACAAAGTTATTGGGAATTTTACAAGAAAAACAACGATGTGCTTAAACGTGTTTTAAAGTAACTTTATTCTTTCATGAGTTATTTACAAGTTTCTGACCACTTATAAAATGTGTTCAATGTGCTGCCCATTGTGTTGGATAGTCAATGCAACCCTCTTCTCCCACTCTTCACACACTGATAGCAATACCACGGGAGAAATGCCAGCACAGGCTTCCAGTATCTGTATCCAGTATAATTTCAGATGCTGCACATCTTGTATCTTCACACCATTGATGATTGCCTTCAGATGACCCCAAAGATAAAAGTCTAAGGGGGTCAGATCGGGAGACCTTGGGGGCCATTCAACTGGCCACGAAAACCAATCCACTTTTCAGGAAAATGTTCATGTAGGACTGCTTGGACCTGACACCCTTAATGTGGTGGTGCCCTATCTTGCTAGAAAAACTCAGGGAACGTGCCAGCTTCAGTGAATAAAGAGGGAAACACATCATCATGTTGCAACTTCAAATATCCAGTGGCCTTGAGGTTTCTATTGATGAAGATTGGTCCCACTATCTTTGTTGTCTAAGGTGTGAAGATACAAGATGTGCAGCACCTGAAACTACGGATACTGGAAGCCTGTGCTGGCATTTCTCCTACATTAAAAACAAAGCACACCGTTGTTTTTCTTGTGAAATTCCCAATAAGTTTGATGTGTCAATTGACCCTTTTTCTATTGAAAAAACAAAAGTTGGATCCAATATGGTCGACTTCAAAATGGCCACTACCAATCTTGAAAAGTTTGCCCCCTCACATATACTAATGTGCCAGAAACAGGATGTTAATATCACCAACCATTCCCATTTTATTAGGGTGCATCCATATAAATGGCCCACCCTGTAACATAAAAGAGTTTAGTAAAAGCATACAATCACAACTAAAGGATCAATCACACTCATGCTTTTAGTTGCCCTTTAAAGCCTTGTGCCTAAACAAAGGGCACCAATGTAATTGTGCACACCAATGAGCAAAACTCCAGGCATCCTTTTTAAATAAAACGCCTCATGCTCGCTTTTTTGGTTTTGGAACGCTGCATCAAAAACATCTCCACCAAATAGATTGGCATTTTTGTTCATGTTCTTGGAGCTGCTGATGTTAAAATAAACACCGCTTGGAGGTGCAAAACAGTCAAGGTGGAAAAACTCATTAAAATACTCAGACACTGAAAAAAAACAATACCACAGACTGTGCAAACAAACGACAACTAAATAAAAGAATGCAAATAGTCTAAAGATGTCAGTAAATGAATCCAATTAGTAGAATTTTAGACAGTAATTCAATTCTCATTCCTGTGCAGCTGCTGTAAGCGGGCTGATAAGCGAATCGAGCTGGCACACAGATCACACTGTGAGGCGCATGTCTCTTTTCTGACAGACATCGATGAAAAGTTTGTAGTTTAATACACTTTTTAAAGCAAAACTAAAACCAGCTTTACATGTGAAATGCTTAACATTTGGTTTATCACCAATATGATGAGGTTTTTTGCTTGCTTGATGTTGCTTAGTTTGCATTAGAATATAAAACTAAGGTTAAATGTATGTACAAACAGGGCAGCACAGTGGCTCAGTGGTTAGTAATGTCACCTCATAGCAAAAAGGTCACTGGTTTGAGTCTCAGCTAAACCAGTTGGCATTTCTGTGTGGAGCTTGCATGTTCTCCCTGTGTTTGTGTGGGTTTCTTCTAAGTGTTTTGGTTTCCTTCACAGTCCAAAGACATGTGGTATAGGTGAATTTAGGTAAACTAAATTGGTCGGAGTATATGAGTGCGTGTGTGAATCTGAGAGTGTAAGGGTGTTTCCCAGGACTGGGTTGCGGGGTATCCACTGCCTAAAACATATGCTGGAATAGTTGGCAGTTCATTCTGCTTTGGTAACCCTTTATAAGGGATTAAGTCGAAGCAAAATGAATTAATGGTTCCAAATATACTGTACATGTACATAAAAAAAGGGTGGCATGGTGGTTTAGAGGTTAGCACTGTCGCCTCATAGCAAGAAGGTCGCTGGTTCGAGTCCTGGCTGGGCCAGTTGGCATTTCTGTGTGGAGTGTGTATGTTCTCTCTGTATTCATGTGGGTTTCCTACAGTTTTCCCCGCAGTCCAAAGACATGCAGTACAGGGGAACTGGATAAACTAAACTGCCCGTAGTGTGTGTGTGTGTGTGTGTGAGATTGTGTACGAGTGTTTCCCATTACTGGGTTGCAGTGTAGCTGCTGCGTAAAACATACGGCAGAATAGTTGGTGGTTCATTCTGCTGTGGCGACACCAGATAAATAAGAGACTAAGCTGAAGGAAAACAAATGCAAGTAAAAACATCATCCATAAAAAAGTGTGTGTGTGTGTCAGACATTGTTCTGGAAAAGGTGCTTTTGGTGCATCCCCATTTATCATACTTGGTGTGAACAGCAAACATCTTGATGCCAGAGCCACACCGACCCATGACAAAGATTTTTACAAATATTTAGGTTAAGTACAATCTTTACAACTTCCATATCAAATACCTTAACAATGTTTCCCTCCAATTTTGTTTAAAACACATTACCTCACACACCAAGTATATTGAGGCTCTTACACAAGAAGTTGAAATCTCACCAGGAAAGGCGGTGGGCGGGGCAGGGGTTGGCACGGCGATGGGCACACCCACACTGCCACTCCCACTGTTCTCTCTGCTGCTGCTGCGACTGCTGGGGTGACTGCCGCCACTGCTGCCACTGCTGACACACACAAAACACACAGCCGCCAAAGTTACAATCAACTTTAATTTGACTGTTCCACTTCAATAACCTGACGCAACTCCAAGTAAAACAGGATTAGAATAGGGTATTGATTAGATCCTCAAAAGTGGTCCTTATAAGCCAGAATCGAAGCAGACCAAATGAGAATTTGCTAAAACAAAGTAAAATCTGTTAACAATATTACGATCAGGTGGCCTAAATCAGTGGTTCCCAACCTTTTTCTTTGGGGCCCCCCCCATGAACATATACAAACATTGGAGCCCCCCCACCATATAAATACACACGCACGCACACACATATGTACTGTGTATATATATATATATATATATGTGTGTGTGTGTGTGTGTGTGTGTGTGTGTGTGTTTGTGTAATATTAATATATAGTAATACGTATAGAAAATATTAATTAATCAGTTTTAACTTGTCTTGGCCTTCAATAAAACCAAAATTTAGGTAGGCTTTGTCATACTGTCTAATCTTTTTCTTCGCCTCTGAAGAATCACTGCATTTACGTTTGTCTGCCATATTTGTTTTGATTTTGCCTTTACGACACGTTGACAAGCAGATTGCGCGAGTGAGCAAAATTTAAATAATTATTTAAAGTTATTTATTTTAATTATTTTCACTATTATGTTGGAATTTTAAGCAAGTGTTTAGATTTTTTTTTTTTGGTACTTAAAAATACATATATAATAGTAGGGCTGCTCGATTTTGGGAAAAATCATAATCTTGATTATTTTGGTCATAATTGTAATCACAATTATTCAAAACGATTGCCAGTTAAAGTCAAAATTATTAGCGCTCCTGAGATTTTTTTTTTTATAAATATTTTCCAAATTAAGTTTAACAGAGCAAGGAATTTAAACAGTATTTCCTACAATATTTTTTCTTCTATTTGTTTTATTTTAGCTAGAATAAAGACAAGAATAAAGCAAGATATATTTTTGATTGTCTGCAGAATAGACTACCGTTATAATGACTTGCCTTATTACTCTAATTAAGCCTTTGAACTGCACTTTAATCTGAATGCTTGTATTTTGATAAATATCTAGTAAAATATTATGTGCTGTCATTATAGCAAAGACAAAAAGAAATCAGTAATTAGAAATGAGATATCAAAACTATTATGTTCAGAAATAAGTTAATAAAATATTCTTTCCATGAAACAGAAATTGGGCAGGAAAAGGTTTGCTAATATTCAAGAGGGCTAATAATTCTGACTTCAACTGTATACATACAGTTATTTTCCACCCTGCAAAGGAAAGAGAAATAAATACAATAGAATAAAAATATGAAACAAACTGTGCTTTAAGCATCTTCACTGTAAGAAAAACACTTTAGCTACAGCAGTGCTTTAGTCAAGACCAGCGAGGGTTTTCTCGTTATGTTTGTTTAATAATGTTAAAAACAGGCGGCAGAAGGATTATAGCGCGCTGTGTCTTTACGTCTTTTGATCCTCAACTCGTTTGTTTATTACACAAATGAGGGTTAATATAAATAATCACTAAACACCGCGTTTTGACACCTATTTGACCATTACAGCGCTCACGTTAAGATGACTTTAGATGTCTGCGCTCCTCTGCTCGTCTCAGTGTGTGAATGAGAGTGAATGCTGACCGGCCGCATGCTTCTGACTGCGTGATCGTGCTGCACACACACACACAAGCACGCGCTCTTTCGCGCTTTTAAGAGCAACACGTGTACAACTGGAACGTGGCAAAATATGATACAATAATCATTTATCTAGATTAATGCTTTTTTATAATCGTTTGAAACCGAAATCTAAATCGGATTTTCGATTAATTGCAAAGCCCTTTATAATAGTGGAGCACTTTTATGCCTTTTTCTACCTCAATACTTATTCTCTCCCGCGCCCCCCCTGTGAACTCTGGCGCCCCCCTTAGGGGGGCGCGGACCCCAGGTTGGGAACCACTGGCCTAAATGATTTTAACAAGAAGAACAAGTTATTGCATTGTGATTAAAGATTACAAGGAGAGCTTTTTTCTTTACTCATTTCTTTTTTTGAATCAACTTGTACAGATTAATGATTCACAATAATAAGTAATTGGGGACAATTATTCATTGACTTTGAACAGCACATAAACAAACATTTATTCTGGACCAAAAAAAAAAATCTACATGAAATTACAGCAAATTCCACAGAATCAAATTTTGTAAATTTTGTTGACCAGGCCAGTTTTTTGTTTTTAAGATTTCCTAAAGACGATTTAGCATTTCTGCAGCACAAAAAAAGCTTCGGTGGAAACTCTAGGCTGGTTTATACTTCGTCGAGTGATCGCTATGATCCACAGCGCACGCTTTGCGCGTAGTCTTGCATTTATACTTCTGCATGCTGTTTGTGTTGCAATAACACTTCTGAAATGTTAGCTTGCAGTAGGTCATGTTTCTCTGTGTCGAGTTTTTTCATGGGTGTTTTGTTTTTTTCTGAATGCTACCTTAACATACAAGTAGCTAAAACTCGCTTATTCGGAGACGGGAACTTGCGGAGGTGCCACAACTTTAATCATATGGTAAAAACAAAACAAAAAATTTCATCTGGAGCTCCTTCAAGAGACTCAACACTTGTAAACACTCGCTTTATTAAGCTAGTGGCTTTCAGCACTGCCCACACTTGTCACCACTACCAAGCCGACCAATAAGGGCGTACTCACACTATGCTATCCGAACCATGCCCAAGCCCTAGCTCGGATTGTTTGAAAAGTGTGAGTGCTCTGAATCAGCACGGTACACTTGTAGTGTGAGTGAAAAATGCACCTGAGCCCGAAACTTAAGACGAGATGTGACTTTTAAGGGACTGTTATGGATTTATTATTCATTCTGACTGTTCAATGAACGCGTGGTTTGTTAAAGACACAAACCCCTCACTGCACGACAGCTGTACCTGCAGCAAACCTCCTAATTCCTTCAGCACGAGAACTTTATGATTGTTTATGAGCGTCAAAAGTGGCACATCTGTTCGGCGAAATATTTGACTGCGTGTCACTGCATCTCAAAGGACTAAAACAATACAACTAAAGAAATCTCCACTGATGAGCGAGAGCGCTTACTGAACAGTGCATCATCGATGACGTAAGCGTGCCCAGGCCTGAATGTAATGTGAGTTCGGGCCGTCGGGGGAGACAAGCGTGCTTTGGCCCGGTTCAAGGCAACTGTACATAGTGCGAGTATGCCCTAACAGAGCTTGCGCTAAGTGTAGTTACATTTTTTGAGACGTGCTCATCAGCATCGCCGTCAGCCATGGCGAGAGCTATGCAACTGAAGCAGAAGTGTAAATAAGTCTTCACCCTAATGGTGACAATATTGAATTGGTCTAGTCATTATTTCTTTTTTCTTTTCTGAAAAAATGGACAGTAAGAACGACAGCTTCATATTTAGCTATTTTCAAATTTCCATCTCATTTATTTCAGATTGATTTAACAGCCTGGTCAATATCAGATGATCAGTTTATAGCAAGGAGTAGACATATTGTTAAGTTATCTTTATTAGACAACAATCATTTCCACTATAATATTAATCATGCAAAATAGCATTCGGTATCAAAGATACAGTACAACTGTAATACTACAGAATAATATTACAATGTAATAACAGTTTACTTTAATGTTGTTTGTATCTGTGCAGACAAAGTTAAATATTTAGCATTAACTCCAGAGTACCGAAAATAAACTCTTCCTATTATCTATAAAAGTAGATGAACTGCTTAAAACATCTATGAAAATCATAACATTTTTTACCCCCCAAAAAAACAGCTTTCATTTAAAACAGAATTTACTTAAAATTTCATCACACACACATCTGGCATGGTCATGAATTGAGGAATAGCGGGTGAGAATCTGAGAACAGGAAGAAGAGCAAGAGCAGTGTGTGAATGCGATTATGTGCTCTGCGTATCCCCCGAGACTCAAAATCAGAGCGCTGACAATGCAAACAGCAAAGAGATGAAGAGGTATGTGCAAGAAAGACTGAAATAGAAAAAGGACGGTGAGTGAAAGAGCAGGAAAGAGCTCCCCTTTAAGTAGGCTATGGCTTGTTGAACCCAAAAAAGATCCAAGTATGGCAGAGAGAAAGCACAGGAGAAAGAGAAGAGAAAGTTAGTGAGAGACTGTTACTTTGGCCCGAAAGTCACACTGCGACACACACCAAACAAACAAACACAGCTTAAAAAAACAGAACAACAGCGACAGGAAGGACAGACGGGGAAAGAACAGGAAAGGAGAATGCAGAAAAAGAGAAAATCGGAAGGGACGTTTTTTTCCCTTTCAGTGTTTGTCCTGAGGATAAAGTTTTTGGAGTAAGTGTGTGAGTGTGAGTACCTGTACGTGCGGGTCCTCTGATTAACGGATGCAGTTCTAGCCGGGCTCTGCAGGGGTGGTGCAGTGTTTCGTGTTGGACTCGGCACATAGTCGTTTGGGACGACAGGTGGACGCACAGGCTCAAGCGTCCGGTAAGGGGAGTGGCGCCTGCCAAGGGGGGGCGGGGTTACAATATTTTAATATCCACTATAGGGTGGAGTCAAACAATATTGAAATTCCATACTGGAATATATTAGGTCAGATATTGGGTTATTATCTTGTAGAGTAAACTCCTTTCAGAGCTCCACAACAGCGGCGTAAAGAAAACCTCACAAGCTTTGTTCAACTGACAGTTGTTTGTAGATGTCAGGAACTGTTAGCATTGGTGGTATGAATAAATGTATAAGAAACTTTTTGTTTGGATCGACAAAACAAATATGAGTATTTTAATACTTAAAGTTTAACAAAATAAATAAATAAGTCTGTTGTCTTCAAGAAGCTTCTTAATTTGCAAGTTAAGACTTAACATGCACGATATTTCACCATTAGCTTCCAAAAGATATATATATATATATATATATATATATATATATATATATAGAGGACAGAATTATTATTTTTTTTAATTCTGTAATTCACCTAAAATGTAATTTTTCTATAAACTTCCATAATTTTGTAGTACATTAGTAGCCAAACAGACTCAAACTTATGGTATTTTGACAATATCGCCATATGTAAATAGTACACAACTATTAAAAATAAATAAATATATTGAATGTGTTGCTTTTCTATTAGGAGCAGAAGCACTCATAAAATACATCTTTGTGTGGAGTTCTTTAAAGTCAGTTTTTATATTATATCATGTACAAATATATGCAAAAAAAAATCATAAAACAAATAATTCAGCTTTTATTTTACCACTGCTTGAGCCACATTTAAAGTAGCAGTATTTGGTTAATTTTATATTAATGACTATTCTCACCAAATACACTCACCGGCCACTTTATCAGGTACAACTGCTGGTTAACGCAATATTTTAATAAGCCAATCACATGGCAGCAACTCACCGAATTTAGGCATGTAGACACGGTCAAGATGACAGGCTGGTCTGAGTATTTCAGAAACTGCTGATCTACTGGGATTTTTTACGCACAACCATCTCGAGTTTACAGGGAATGGTTGAAAAAAGAGAAAATATGGTGAGCGGCAGTTCTGTGGGTGCAAATGCCTTGTTGATGCCAGAGGAGAATGGCTAGACTGGTTCGAGCTGATAGAAAGTCAACAGTAACTCAAACAACCACTCGTTACAACCAATGTATGCAGAAGAGCATCTCTGAACACACAACATGTTGTACCTTGAGAAGGATGGGCTACAGCAGCAGAAAACCACACTAGGTGTCACTGAGGCTACAATTCACACAGGCCCCGTTTACACTAGTGCGTTTTAGTTTTAAAACGGCGTTTTAGAATGAAAACGATCCGCGTCCACACTCGCGTTTTACCCAGCGTTTCTGAACTGCTCTCCGTCCACACCAAAACGCTGAAAACGCACATCACGTGACCACACACACACACTTTGGCAATCGCTGGAGCCCATCTACCCAGATGAGAGCTCTGCTAGTCGGACTTCTCATCAAGCATCTCCCGCTGGATCTAATCTCACTATATTTATTAAACGTGATATTTCATTCATCTTGTTGTCTTTATCTAACGACATATTCCCTGACTTTGGTCATTGGAATCTATTACTTGTTCTCAGGTGTTTTGGCTGAGCGCAAAGATAAGTTAATGATTAATGAAACCACATAGCCTACATTCTGTATATTGACTGATCGCTTGCCTTTATTTCCTATAATGTATAAACCTATTGTATGTTATACTTTTATAATGGCCATTATCGTTTATTAAAACTGATATTCAGCAAAAGAGAGGGTATGTTTCGTATTTTCACTTAAATTGAAAAGAGGCAGTTGTTATCGGCTCCGTTTTGTTATAAATATCCACACAGTGAAGATGACGCTCATGCAGCACGACGCCTCAACATTTCTGCTGTCTGTTTAGTTGTTAATATTAAAATAAAAATAGGCAGTTCCTTATATCAAGTTTACATTTTATTGTTGAGAAAGTGAAACAACGTAGCCAGAGTGATGTGAATGAAGTTATAAAGTACACTGTTCCCTGTGAAGATTGACGCGTGTCCTCGGTATGTTTTCCATATCAAACTGAGAAGAAGAGACTGCAGCCTTGATCAAACTTGCGAAGTCTGAACTTACACGGAGAAGATTCAGGACTGAACTGTGTGTTAGGCTACTTAATATTGAGGAAAAGCCCCAATCAGAGAGGTGAATGTCTGCAGCCCCGCCTCCGTTTTCAGATGTCTCCGTCTTACCCCATCCACACTGAGACGGAGCAGCAGCGTTTCAGAATGAAAACGGCCTCTCCAGCGTTTTCTAAAACGCACTAGTGTAAACGGGGCCACAGGCTCACCCAAATTGTACAATAGAAGATTGGAAAAACATTGCCTTGTCTGATGAGTCTCAATTTCTACTGTGACATTCGGAAGGTAGGGTCAGAATTTGGCATCAACAGCATGAAAGCATGGATCCATCCTGCCTTGTATCAACGGTTCAGGCTGGTAGTGGTGGTGTAAGGGTGTGGGGGATATTTTCTTGGCACACTTTAGGTCCATTAGCATCAATTAAGCATCCTGTCAATGCCACAGCCTACCTGAGTGTTGTTGCTTATCGTGTCCATCCCTTTATGACGACAGTGATAACATGCCATGTCATTAAGCGCTATTCATCTCAGACTTGTTTCTTGAACATGACAATGAGTTCATTATACGCAAAAGGCCTCCACAGTCACCAGATCTCAATCCCATAGAGCACCTTTGGAATGTGGTGGAACGGGAGATTTGCATCATGGATGTGCAGCCGACAAATCTGCAGCAACTGTGTGATGCTATCATGTCAATATGGACCAAAATCTCAGCAATATTTCCAGTACCTTGTTAAATCTATGCCATTAAGGATTAAGACAGTTCTAAGAACAAAGGGTCCAACCCGCTAATAGTAAGGTGTACCTAATAAAGTGGCCCGGTGAGTGTATAACCATCTTATTAACTCTACGTAAAACCTTTTAACAATAGTCCTCCTTGTCTTTTTTGAAATATGTCTCACTTTGCATTATCCCTTATTCTTTAGTGCTCTCATGGGTGAATAATGTTAAGTGGTATATTTCCGACAGAAAGAGGAATCTCTGTACTTTGCACAGTACAGTATATATATCGTCATTCCATCCATCTCTAGCATAAATCTCCTATGATGTGTCGAGCAGATATTTAAAGATGCCTGCTGTGGTGGTTTCGTGTTTGACTGTTGTGTTGCCATGTTGACAGTGAAGGGTTTGGGGCCACAGACATAGGCACGAGTGGGAAGAACACAGTTGAGGTTTAACAGTAACAAACATCAGCTGTAAAAATGCAATGACACAAAATAATAACACAACACAAACAACAACATGGCAGTTTTGATCTCCACAGTGACCTGCGGTGGCAGAAAGAAAGACAAAGATGGAAACACGCAGATCCAGATGCTTTAGTGTGTCAGTCCCTGAACAGAGAACAAGTTGTTAACTACAACACACGCAGTCAGAGATGTGTGTGCGAACACGACTCTGTCAGGAACAGAGATTAGATAAGAGATGAAGAGAAAGAGATCGAGAGAGAATTTTCTTTTCAAACAACACGTGCACAACACATAATTCAATGGGGGTCATATCATGCGGTTTTGTCATTTTTACTCCAAGACAACCATTTAGAATGTAAATCCATATGATGGAATTGTAATATAAGGCAAACACGATTTAGATCAAGCTAAAATGCTTAATAAAAGCCATTTTCTATTAGGTTTTAATGACCATTAGGGCCTTAAGTTGGATTTATACTTTGCCTGGTGCCACATCCTTAGCCTCCGCTGACTGTGCGTGCACCTCGCGAAACGGACGAAGCTATTATACTCACCACATTCACCATTGTGATTTGCTTTAAAATGACAGGGGGCGGTCAAAAGGAACCGACCGTAAAGATAGATGGATAAACAGACAAGTAGAAAGTTTACGTCACATCATTAATATCATTCAATATTTTTTAACTAATTTTCTTTATTTTTTTAATAAATTATTTTACTGATAGGGATTTTTAAAATCATTCAAGATTTTTTTTTTAATCAACCTGATGCATCACTTGCTTTTCTTCATATGTTGGACAGTTAAACCTATTAAAGTTTATTAAAATATTAATGACAGCCGAACATTGGTTACTCTCCAAATATATTTTTTTATTATGGCAAGAATAAAAGCAACAAAAGTACACTCACTAAAATATACAGGTGTTTTTTTTTAGATTTAGCATGCTCCACAATTCACACATTACTGTCTGACTAGTTTCTGTCCTCTACTTATACTAAAAAGGCAATAATGGTCCAACATTCCTGACCATTATCACCTATAACAGTGGTTCCCAACCTTTTTTTCACCGCGAACCGGTCAACGTTACAACGGACCGGTGTGTGTGTATATGTATACTGTTAACATATTAACACTAATACAACCGTATAGCCAAATTAAATGTATGCATTGGCATGTTACAGCCCTAATGAGCATGATTATGTAAAACTCCATATATATATATATATATATATATATATACATATTGCAATGATTTCGGGTACTTAGTTAGCGATGCACGCACACATATATGCAAAATCCTTAAATACTCTGCTGACTTGGACTGTATAATACCTGTTCTATAACTTTAAACTATCAACAACCACCAGTGAGCTTTCTTCTATCGTTCTTCCCGCTCCGTGGTGGATTTTGGCATAGTCCATTTCACGTGAGATGGCGGTGGAGTGGAAGAAACCAAGTTGTGGGGGGAATATTTTCTACAGAAATAATTTATGATTTCTTATGTGGCCAGGTACCAATTGTTCCACGGACCTGTACGGCCGCGGCCTGGTGGTTGGGGACCACTGACCAATAAAGCTCAGAAAAAAAGCCCATCAATATTTTGTAAACCGATCATAAATTAAATATTTTTTTCCAACTACCAAAGAAATAATTTGTTCTTTAATTATAGTTTTGTAAATATAAATTGTTTTAAATACAAAATTGTAACATATACATCACTGTAAAACCTATAAATTGTGGAAAAACATATTTCTGTAATTGTGTACCTGGGTCTCCACTTCTGCCATGGTCTCTTTTGGCTTTAACAACCTTATCCCTCAGGTTTTTCAAACCTTCCTCCTTTTTCCATGGCTGTTGCAATTTCTAGCCAAAAATAATTGATCATCTGGTTCTCTCAATGATTACAGATCATAAAGAAGTCTGTACAGTCGTACTGTTTCAGACAAAATCTCTTCAAAGTGTTTATAACTCAAATCGGTTACGGTGCGGCGCATACCGTTTGCTCGAGTCTCAAAAATCATGCGCTCCGCCGGCCGAAATCATGTCGCGCGCACCCAAATCGAGCCTCCGCAAACTCTGCGATGAAGTCACATTTGCCGCATGCACTAAAGCAAACAAGCGGACGCATCGAGTATAAACCCAGGTTTTACAGCAGCATGGATGCAGCATCACACACAAGCAAATGTTTTCCATTATGTGTGATATTCACAACTAGTCATGATTAATTTATTCTGTGAAAATGGGTAACATAACACAGCTTGGTCAACTGGTCCAATTAGACAACCTACTTCTTGTAAAATTAAATGGCTTTATTTATCTTGTAAAATATGACAATTAATTGCCATTAGAAATTATTTTAATAATAAATAAACTACATTCCATTTCATTTGCATTACAGTGAATTTTAGTAGTACCTCTCATATTTCTACAAACGTTTCAAATGGTCATTATTGATACGTGATTGCTCACACCGTTAGTAGATTGGTGATGGAATCCCACGGCAATGTTACTGTACAGACTGTAATGCATCAATGTGACATCAAAGAACTAGCAGTGATAAATGTGTTATATATATTTGTGTCGGCTGCATCTTAGCAAATAATCCACTCTGTGTAGGCACACTAAATGGACTACAGACGACTGCAAACAAATATGCAAGTTCTACATCTACATATAAAAATATAAAAGTCTAAATATATAGAAATATATCAATAGCCATTATTCATCATTAAAAAGGAAAACCAAAACTAGTACTGTAGATTTACAAACAGCAAACAAACTGACTAAATTCGGACTGCTGTAAAACACTGTCTGGTAAACGCTCTAAATCGATGATAATCGCCATTATACATTAGCTTGGGTTGATGTAGACCGTAAACATATTTTCTGGCAAAAATATTATATTTCTGGAACAAGGTTTTGTCGGAAATGGACAAGATCTTAGGATACCATATACCAAAAGAAACTATGAAGACGTGGTAGTGATGTGTATAATATATTAAGTGTATATATGTTAAGTGAATATATTAAGTGTGGCAAGCAAAAAGATTATTACCAGATACTGGTATAAGCATGACATCCCCTCTATTGGTGATTGGATAAAAATTGTGAAGAAAATAAGCAATATGGAAGAATTAACATTTATTTTAAGACTTAAAAAGGACTTATTTCTAAAACATTGGAACAAATAGACGGATTACTGCAATGTTAACCGTTAAATGCACTGAATGTGGAACAATGTAAACCCTCCAATGTTGTGTCTATTTTTTATTGTTATTATTATTATTTCATGAGGAACACTGTAAAATTGCATATTCTGAGTGTAAAATGTTATATTGTAAAACTTAAAAAGTTCTCAATACAAATTAAGCAATAATAAATAATAAATCAGCTTTGGTTCAGAGGTTTGCCATATCTGTCATCTGTGATAGTATTTTAATTACTGAGATTATCAAGTATAGATCTCTGCATGTTTTTTGTTTTTGCTTTTTATTAGATAGAGTACAATTACATCCCTGTTAAATAATAAACACTGTTGTCCAGTCAGACTTTAATGACAAAACAACAACCCACTTAAATCACTACAAGGGAAATTCTGATGGCAACAGCCCTGTTCATATTACAATGAACTCTTTTAATCAAGAAATGTTTGAGTCCTCATGATATGACCCCCCTTAAAGACGGTTCAGTTCTTTCAAATAAACAGACCGCACAAACTTCTATTAAAGACAAGATTTTGACCAACAGAAGCTAGCTACTTTTTTTCTGCAACCTCCAGTCCAAACAGCAGTCAGACCAAATATTACTAATAAACTACATCTCTAAACCAGCATGAAATTAAAAGGGGACCCATTATGCCTTAAGATGTAAAATAAATCACTGATGTCCCTGGAGTGTGTTTCAGCTTAAAATATCACACAAATAATGTTTCATAACTCTTCAAAACTGCCCCTTTCAGGTTTTGATCCCAGTTGTGAAGTTTTATTTACTGTCGCTTTAAATTCAAATGAGATTGTGCTCGCAGCCCTATTTAAAAGGGGCGGAGCTACACATGCCTGTGTGTCAGCATAGTGGCAGATTCTAAAATAAGACTAATGTCCTATGCTAATGAGGGAGAGATCATCACTAATGGGCGGGGCTTTCCCCCTCTGATGAAACGTACAAAGGAAGAATGTCAAAGAGTTTCTGCAGTTTTTATTAAAAGTGATTTTAAAAAGTAGAATTAATTAATTTTAAGCATTAGAAACTGCCTATTTTCACACATCTTTGCCACACAACTGTGTCCAAACCCCTTTATAAAATTGATTTTGGCATAATAGGTCCTCTTTACATTTGGTTAACCATCTCAAAAATATCTTATTAGTGTTTCGTAACATAAAAATGTATCAATTTAATAAAATCAATATCAACAAGACGGGTATCTATTAATCGTCTAAACGCATTAACTTACCCAAGGGTTCCTTTGCCAGGTCCGGGAGGGCTTGGGGGTTTCTGGGTCGGGGCTGCTGTGTGTGGAGTTGTTCCCGCTTTCATATTCTGAGCATTCACCTGTGGGGCAAGAGTTAAACATCACTGATCTAAATCTGAATAAATGTAAATACACATGTTACACCACCACATACACAACACACAACAACTAAAGCCTGAATCCTTACCTTAAACCTTAGTAACCACTACATTCACAAATGAAAGCATTAAATGTGAGGAGAGAAAACATACAAACCATTAGTGTGAAGAGTAAAAAAAATAAAAACCTCAAACACACACACATACAAACAGCCGCTAGTTAAAGAGATATTTCACCCAAAACAGAAAATTCTGTCATCATTTACTCTCCCTTGATTTAATCTAAACCCGTTTGTCTTTCTTTGTTCTGTTTAACAAACCAAAAAAAAAAGATATTTTGAAGAATGCTGTAACTGTTGACTTCCACAGTTTTGTTTTCCTACTATAGAAATCAGTTGCTGTTACAGGTTTTCAGTTTTTTTATTTATTTTTAATTTTTTTTCCAAATATCTTCATAAAATGTTCAACAGAATACAAAAACAAAGACTTGGAACCACTTAAGGATGAGCAAACAGAGAGCATATTTAGATTTTTCGTTGAACTATCTCATTAAGCACAGCGGACCCTTTAATACAGATCCATATGTTCAAATTAAATTGGAGTGCACAGTATGCCGGAATCAGTAAGCCATAAAGAGGAATTACCAACCTACGTCACACAACGTCACACGGGCTCCTGGTTGCAAAAAAAAAAAAAGCTTGGAATAGCAAACATGTCGTGTTGTACGGTAGGATGCCAAATTAGACTTTATTTTTACTGTACACCACACTGCTTTTAATGCCAACTGTAGATGTCTTTGGCTAAAAGGGAGCTGAATGAAGTGATGACCTAATTAAAAATGCTTGACTCTTCAGTTCTCATTTCATATCAGGTAAGTTCACGCTATGCTGAATCATACACATCACTCATTTTTGATTTCAGCAAAAAAACTTAAATATGGTGAACTAAACTGCGGACACTAAATGCTTGGAATGAAACGTAAAAGTGTAAGTTCGCATACCCTGCCATACAGATGCAGTTCGCTGTCAGAATGCAGTTGTTCTGCATGTTGATGATCACCCAGGGCTTTTATAGTTCCGTCTTCTTTCCTTGTCTTTGGTTAGGCAGAACCTCGTTTTTTAGCACTACATAGTTTTGAATCGGCTGATCATAGAACATTATTTCTTGCACATGACCACGCAAAACAAAACTGTTGGCATCCAAAGACTTAAAGGCCTTTAACTTCTCTCTTGTAAAAACACATGGAGCTTTAATGAGATAGATTTACATTCCAGGCTGGATGCTTGGACATGTCGTCTTATCCAATATTCATTGGGAGGGTGCTATCCAAATGGACCAGTCAGACAAACGCCGCTCACTTTAACATTAATTTTGCCAAAACCCTCTGCTTATCACTGGGTGACAAGCTGTTATAATACACTGAAAGCTTTATGTAAATAACATATATGTTATATTTATTACATATTATATTTCTAAGATGACAACAAACTCTGTACTGCATCGGATGCCATTCCCTCCCGTTTTTTTCTGCAACCTCGCTGCATGCGCATCTTGAATGTTTAAAAACATGGTAATTCGTCTATAACTGCGCCTGAGCAATCAGATATATTCATCACATACTCAGGACATTAACTAGTGTTATGAATTGGTATTTTAAAAATGTATTAGTAGATGTTATGATTAACGAATACTCTTACAAGTATTTTTCAATATTAGCTTAAGTTAGTAAATACATTAACTAATGAAACCTTATTGTAAAGTGTGACCCTAATAACTAATTCCACCCTAGTTAGTGCTCTTAACAAGACAAATGTGAATTTTCATGAATATAACAACATGAACTCACACATAGAGACTGGCTTGATGCCTACCTTTACGCCATGGCCTACGTCATCCAGCAGACTGTAGTCAATGGGCTTGCGGATGTAGCGCACAGGCCTCTCAGGATTGGCTGGTGCGATGATCTTGTGCGTGCGAGAAGTGTTCTTATTGGTGGTGAGGATGCCAATCTCTCGCCTGGCCACCTTCTCTTTATGGATGTCAACCGTCTACAGATGAACGAACGACAACATAAACTTAGAAACAAATCTGTATTTTACAATCCTGCTTATATCACCAAGTGCAAAATCTCACACCCTTATAAAAATAAACAATATACATTACATTTAATTTAAATTCAGTCAATTATTAATGTATTATATGCTGACCATGTGGGAAAAACACTCTCTTGTTTGCATTACAAAAGTAGGACTGCATGATATTGTAAAAAACATTGCGAAATTTTAATTTTCTGCTATATGAATACAATTTTATCAAATTAAATAGCTCTATTTAGAAAGAATTCATAATTTTACGTTGACTGGGATGCTTTTGTAGGTGGCTGTATCTGTATAAAATACACTAAACAAATTCCAAGCATTAATAAATACAAAAGAGCAAAGAAAGAATTTTCAAACATTTGCAATCACACAAAGGCTGCGCTGGACCATACACCTGCACATGACAGAAGAATAAATCAGCCTTAACAGTATTCAGATACATACATTAAATACTCAAAATTTAAAATAACACTTTATAATCTTCACTGTGCAAATAATTATACAATTTATCCTTTTCTTTATTTATAGCTACAAATGTTATAATTTCTTTGCCTAAATCAGGGTTTCTACAGGTTTCATCAAGTCAAATTTGAGACTTTCTTTTATTTTTAGATTTATTTTTGGGCATTTTGCCTTTATTTGGACAGCACAGCGGGTTGACAGGAAGTGAAGTGGGAGAGAGGGAGAGGGGGGTAGGGTCAGGAAAGGTCCACGAGGAAAGCTGCCGAACCACATGTCAGTGCACTAACCACTGGGTTATCACGCTGACTTTAAGACCTTTTTAAGACCATAATGAATGAAATTTCAGACTTACACAAGGCTAAATGTTACAGATTTTTTTAAATGGTCAAGATAAAACCTTAAAAAAAGCATCGCAAACAAATGTTATTGTAAAGAAGATAATTAAACCATATAAATAAGCAAATAGAGTTAATAAATAAACGTTTCTTAAAACTTTTACTGAAATATATTGTTAGTGAATAGATGGGTGTAGGCCCAATTGGGTATAACTTTACATGAACAGGAAAAATCAATATTTGACACAATATTTGAGTGGATTTAAGACTTTAAGTTCTAAAATTTGGTTTTTAAAATTTAAGACATTTTAAGACCCCACAGATACCCTGCTAAATGGCTTAAACTTGCGTGAAATGCTTGTGTTACAGTCTTTAAAAACACATGCAAATTAAAACTTTCAGTCTAAGGTTAAAAAAAACTTACTAATGCTAAATAGACATTGCAGGTCCTGACAACTGTGAAGTCACATTGTGAAATTGTTGATCAAACGCAGCCCTATTTTAAAGTAAGTACTCAAAAATGCACTCATTCATATATGATTGTCTTTTTTCTCATTTTATTTAAAACATCTGTGCAAATGTTTGATTAAGAACGAAGAAATATATAATAAATACTCATTTAATATAAAACAATTATAGGACCAACATCCCATTGGTGAAAATGTATCACCATAAATAATGTATTTTGAAGCGTCCTAAAATAAACAACAGAGTATAATATGAAACAACAGACTTTAATTCATCGATCCCATATAATATACAGTAGTCAACATTTGAAGTGGAGCAAAAACAGTTGTTCAAAATTGTCCCAAGACAAAAATGAGTGCTGTTCAATAGTTTTAGGACAACTCTGATGAACCACTTTAAATGTTGACTACTGCATAGTGTCATATTGCATAACACAAGTGCAAAATACCCACAAAAATTCCAGAGAAAAGTACCTGCGAGATGTGGTTGATGGATGACTCCATGCGGCGTAGCTGGGACGCCTGTATATCCAGCATCTGGAGCACATTGTTGGCAAGAGTGTTGATCAGATACGCAACACTGGCCAAAGACTGAGTGGTGTAGCTTTTGGTCTCTTCTAGAGCTCTGTGCTTATCTGGAGACTGGACAGAGAGAAAAGGAGGATGAAGAGAGTGAAAGTTCATCTTAGCACAGAAGGATGGATAGACGTGGAACAGAAGATGATATTGCCTCATGGCCTAATTTCAACGCTCTCATTTTTAACCCCAGTTGAAGGTTTTGCAGCATGCATCAACATTGATGGTATGATGTTGTCACTCATTTTACAGAATCAAAAAGATACAACAAAAGTGCGTGTATTCACTTTAGACTTTTAACGATACAGTTAAATTCAGGATTTTTGTGTCTTATAAAGTACTGTGCAAAAGTCTTAGTTATATTTGTTGTTTTAGTGAGGGTATAAATGACATTATATATTACTTCTCATTCTTTTTATTAAAAGTTAACAAGAAAATACAGCTTTTAGTTGGATTTTTTGGGTCTAAGTGTCAGACATGAAAGAAAGAGTTAGAGAAAGATGGAAGAATGAATGAAAAATACTGGAGTTTCTGTCTCGGTTTGATCTACATTTCTGCCTTAGCTGTTGTCAATACTGCCTGAACTGATTGTGAATGCTAAAAAGTACAGGTTTTAATTCATCATGTACCTTCTACTAGAAAGCATCTAATTTGTAAGGTTTAACAAAGACAGTCATAAAATGGCCTCCACAGTGTCCAGACCTGATTATTATATACAGTATGTACAGTATAGGCAATATTATAGGCAGTATGAGATTCACCTGAAGAGAAAAAGAAAGATAAAACACACTAAATCTAACTAAACTCTAAGAACTCTTAGAAATGATGAAAGATGCTTGATATTAGGGGTGTAATGGATCATGGTTGATTCGTGATTCATACAGATCACAACGCACCGTTCGGAACACACATAGCCTGCGGATTAATAATTTTTGTTACTGGTAGATTAATTCTAAATCTAAAATGATCACAGAGAGAGAGAGATCGCCTCTCGCTTCATTCAAATCACATATTTGAAAGAATTTAGGCTTTTCTGTCAAATTTATTGATGTCAGAAGAAGTTGTGGGTGGGTTATTCAGGATGTGATGGGTTTCAACAGGTGTTTTCTGTTACTACTTGTTAAGCCTGCATCAAAGCATTCAGTGTAAGCTGCACGATTAATCATTAAAAGATCAGGATTTCAACACCCACGCAACAAACTACAAATGATGGTGATTTTCATGTTTATTAATTCTTTGAATCACTGCATTCAAATCTGAAAACCCAAAAATCAAGAAAGAGATCAAGTCTTTAGTTACTGTATGAAGTTATAGCCGAATAACACAGAAGTACTGGGATAGCATTTGATAGTTTATATAAAACCACTAATGTTTATGGTAAAGATTAAAATCATCGCCATGTGCATTTAACTTGACGCTCAAAAATTAAAGTTGTAGGCAGCAATTACATTAACCAATAGGTAGTGACAACCAACCATGAAAAAAATGACATCTAGTATTAAAACAGTTTTATGAGTGAATCACTTAATCATTTTTTAAAAATGAGACTAAAAATAAATATGGGTTGCACAAATTATTATGCTACATTTTTACAGTTAGTGTTATCAGCAACAGTAATCGTAACAGTGAATTCAGTACTGAATATTTTAATTCAGCTGATTATTTCTTAATTTTTTTTTCATAAAACAGATTGGTTCTGTTTGTTAAAACATGATTTGCAGTACTGTTTTTTGTAATAAATGGAAAGCAAATTACATTTGTCTTCTCCCCTTTTTGTCTGATCCGAAAAATTGTCTGATCCATGGAAAATCATAATGTGACCCGAACCGTTAGATTTGTGATCAGTTACACCACTACTTGATTTTATATAGCACAGAATTTCAGAAAAGACTCAAGCTATAACTAACTTGGTTGCCATTGCTAAGACTTTTGCACAGTACCGTATTTCTATCACATATACAAGCATTTGACCATTTTTGTCAATATCCCACCCCCTTGTACCAACACAATAACACCCTCAAAACATAGTTATCGATAATAAACAAGAAAATACAGAAGTTAGGGGTGTAAACGTACAGAACACTATTTCAAAGTCAATTTTGGGATGATTTCAATACAGCTGGAGGCAAACACACCACTAATAAAAAAACTTTATATTTCTTGTTTATTAAACTGTGATTTGCAGTAAACAATCTAATTCTGCCTTAAGTTTCTAATATTTATTAGACAGGAGATGTGGCAGAAAAATCGACAGAAATATTATTCACGCATCAGCTGAAACAGCATAGGCTAAAAATGGATTTTGGGATTTAGAAATCAATACCAGTTTGTTAAAATAAAAATATACTACAAATAGGAAGTTCTCTACATAGATACAACAGTTTAAATTTGTATGTTTTTTTCCATACAAATGCATATACCCAATCAAGATATTATTTTAAAAGTTCTGACAAGAGAGATGTGAAAGGTCGACACACTAGAGCCAAAAACTAAAATTCAGTTCTATTCTTGTACAGTCAATGTAAAGCTTTTTTTTTTTATCTTTGCAAAAACACCATGTTTTGTGTCCCATCAAGTCAAGACTGACACTTAGTTGATACAAATGGTCAAGTGCACAGACTTGAGATATGGCTACTGGAACAAGCCCACATTCCCACACAATATTGCACAACCCTTCAAGATTAATTTCCCATATAAGAATGAATAGACTTTGCAGTGACCAATCAGAGAAGCACTACAGTGAAAATATAATGCTTCGGGTCACTGCCTTATTGGCTGCCTAAGCCATCAGTCATTCCCTGTCGGGGTAACTATGGTGATGCCATCAAGTATAGGGGGTGGACCACTGATGAATGGTACAGTGAGTGAGGATAACGGGGGAGGAGGGTTATCTGAGAGAAATACACCCGTTTGCATGTTAGTCACCCAATACTATACACAATGTATATCTCTACACATTCGAGCTCCTTTAAAAAGCCGCTTTAAAACTATATTGATTATGAAATGCACTGTACAAATTGCAATTAATCTGAAAACCAAAAGAAGACATTCTGCAGAGTGTTTGAGATGCTCTTTTGCAGATGTTGAGATACACCATAATTGTATCTAATATGACTCGTGCACAGTAATTCAAATCTTCGATATTCATACGACAGTAAAGAAAGGTCTCATAACACATGCATCCAGCAATTGTGCCAATATGATAACGCCATTACTGTCATGAAATGCAGAAGACTTACTGACATCCATGTTTATACAACAGTTCTCTCTGTTTTTTAATCTGATTGGCTTATAGCAGTGCGATTTTTCTGCAAATAACAACACTCTTCCAGCCTTTTAACCCTTCACCCTTGTGTATTACTCCACCCACATATGGCGAAAAGCAGAGACACTCTACAGTTTGACAAATTTTGCTGCTGTTGGACATCATAATGTACTTTTGAGGCTTTTTAGTCGAGACTTGAGAATGTCGTTGTTTAAATTGTAACTATGCAGTTTATTTACAAGGATAGTGCCTATTTTAAAATATTTAATAATAATTAATAACTTTTAAAAGACAGCGCATCAACGGCCATTAGCCTGACTTTGAGCAAAGACGGTTGATAATGTTCATCCACAAGATGGCGGCAGAGACCACATAATAAGCCCAAATAAAAAAACTGCATAATATCTAACTACAGCTGATCAAATCATTATTACACAGGTACATTACTTTCTAAGTCGATCTCTCTTCAGTATGTTGTAGTGTTTATACTAGAGCTGCACAATTAATCGAAAAAAGATCGCGATCTCGATTCTACCCCCTAGACCAGGGGTCACCAAACTTGTTTTCTGGAGGGCCGGTGTCCTGCCGATTTTAGCTCCAACCCTAATCAAACACACCTGAATAAGCTAATCAAGGTCTTACTAGGTATACTTGAAACATTTTACATTTACATTTAGTCATTTAGCAGACGCTTTTATCCAAAGCGACTTACAAATGAGGACAAGGAAGCAATTTACACAACTAAGAGCAACAATGAATAAGTACTAAAGGCAAGTTTCAGGTCTGTAAAGTCTAAGAAGGGAAGTGTTAGTAGTTTTTTTTTTTTTTTTTTTTTTTGTACAATTAGTGTGATATTCAAAGAGGCAATTGCAGATTAGGAAGTGAAGTGGAGACTAGTGGAATTGGAAGTGGAAACATGGAATAGTGGAAGTGGAAACATCCAGGCAGGTGTGTTAAGGCAAGTTGGAGGTAAACACTGAAGCGACACCGGCCCTCCAGGACCGAGATTGGTGACCCCTGCCCTAGACGATCTTAATCCAGCATTTCTACGATTCTGTCAATCGTATTTTCAAGTTCAGAAGAGAAGAAAAGGCGGCTGCACGAGTCTTTTCATTGTTTCACACACGTTGCTCAGTGACATGGACACCTCCAAATGATGTTGAATGAGTCACATACTGTATTTATAAGGTATAATGCACCTAAAAATGTAATTTTTGTTATCATATAATGATGTTTTCGCGGCCTGGAAATCACAAGTGTCGTGAGCTGCTGACCGTGAGCTGTAATCACAGAGAAGGAGGGATCGCGCCCAACTTAACGATAGATGCACGCGTGCCTACTTTAGTGAACAGAACCTGCATATGCTGTAACAGGTAATACAGTTGTAAATAATATTCAGTTTGTGGCACAGAGTGATCGTTTGGGAGCGGCGCGCGAAGTATGAACAAGCACTTAGCAGTCAAAATGAAACCGAAAGTGTGCACTTAATTTAAATGATCAAATTGCATTTTAGAGTTATGATTACAAGCATTTGATAAGTGTTTTCTTTCATAGCCAACAGAGTTGGGCAAGAAAATAAATGTTTACAGTGTCAGTATACCTACTCTAGCTTATATATTGTTAAATATAATCTGGTAATGACAAATGTCTGATTTTACCAGTGAATAAAATTGTCTAGAAATGTTGTCAACGACAGAATGCAATCTCAAACATAATAATAAACATCAGAATTATTATAAGTAGAATAGAATTATTTAGAGAAACCAGTAGACCTACACATAAAATTATTATTGATGTTTTG